TATTTTTTGCTTTGCAAACAAACGAGCGCTATATTTATTTATTTATTGATGATGGAAAATTTATTATAAACTTTAAAAACTTAATAAATTATTCAAAGAAGAAAAAGTATATAATATCTTATTTTTAATAGTAATTTTGCAACTACACATTCAATTTAAAAAACTGTTTGGAATAGAACACACGTTCGTATAAACATTTTTACTTAAAATGACAGATATCATCACCTCCTGGAGTACTTTCCTTCTGAGACAATTTGCATGTAAAATTAAAATCGTACTGTTTCTTTCACATGCGGATATAGCTTTTGATAAATTCATAATTCTTTTTTTAGACAAGATTGTTGAATTATTAAAAATTTCAATTTTTATAAATTAAGCTTTAGAAATGCAAACAGCTGCAGTAATATGTTTCTGATTTCATTTTATGATTAATTTGATTATCTTTGTGATTATTTCAATCAAAGCTTCATAAATTCATATTTATTCAGAATATAAATGAATAAAAATATATGTATAAGGACTCTTTTTAATAAATAAATTGAAAAATGTAAATAAAGGGCATATAAGAGTCAAGAAAAATTAAAATAATTTTAAATGTCAAATTTTTAAGATGTTATAACATAGAATTTTAATAGATGTATGTTTAAACAAAATAGATGTTGTTAACAATGTATGTTTAAACAATGATGTTAACGATATTGACATTATATTACATTACATGTTTCGGCTTCTACATCGATAATATAAATGAAATTCTGAAACAGTCCATTAGATTGGTATTTTGGAAGCTTACGGAATTTTTAAATCGCAGCGACTTGTATCTGCAAAATACACCGCACAGATACACATTGCACATTCATACTCCCAGCGCAGAGCACAAAGCGACGATATCACGTAACGCAATCGCTGAGTACCTATATCTCCACATTCACACGCGCACATACAGTCATGCGAAATAGCCTCGGGAAGTTCCTTTCAATTACCTCTCGCATCCGCGTTGATCCGGCGTGACGTCGTACGAACAGAAGGCAGCAAATCTCCCGCGAGTATAAATCCTCGCGATTATTATATCGGGATGCGGAGGCACAAGTCGTCACGTTTCGCGGGATTCGCCTCCCGCGACGGCGATATTGACGCGCGCACGACGAGAATGACACACGCTCGGTGTATACAACAAACCACAGCACGAAGTCTCACCCCCGCTCGCGACGGACGAGGGTTACTGCGAAGTTTAATCGAATCGAGAGCTGGCCGTGCCAACGCGCGCGCGTGCCACCCACGCTGCGACCAGGCAATTCCGTCACTGACTGACGGAGATTTGCGCATACGTCGCCGTCGCCGCCGTCGTCGTCGCCGTCGTCGTCGTCGATGATGACCATCAATGCATCTCCGCTTCTACGCTGCGCCGGTCCGCGACCTGCGCCGGTCTGCGCCTGCCGACCCAATTCGCGATGCGCGCGACGATCCTTACCGAAACGCATCCTTGCGATTGAATACTTATCTCTGCTTGCGGATTTTCTCTGATTAATAAAATTTATTTATAAAGAGAATATTTTATCAATTTTTTTTTACATAATGATAATATTGATAAACCGCACTGATATGAATTGATTGAAAAAGTAGCGACTGTGTCTTTTATATTAAAAATTAATTGGAGATATTAACATAAATAATAAATGATGGTTCGAAATTATAAAAGATTATAGAAAATAATAAATTAGAAATTATACAAAAATGAGATTTATATTGTTCGCTCTTATAAAAGTTTCAATATAAAACCAGGGTTGGGTAGTGCTAAATTAAAAAGTTAAAAGTTAAGTTAAAAAGTTAATTAATTCTAACTTAACACACACTGTTTATTCCACGGTATATGATTTCTGATAGGTTAAAATTCTTATTCTCTGTTCTGTTCTCTGTTCCTTTTATTCTGCGCAGCCCTTACGCCACTCTCTGTTTCCATGTTGATGGATGGCGCTGTTAACGTCCTGCAAGTAGAGACTCTTTATTGTCCGCAAGCGGACACGAGTTTGCATCACTGGTTCGAATTTCAGGAGTTGCAGCTTGCAGTCACTTGTAGTTTGCTGTTACATTTATATAGTGCATATATACTCATTCTTTTAGCTCTATTCCTCTACTAAAAAATAGAATTTTTATGTTTTCTACATTTATCAAAAAAATCTGCACATAATATCATATTAGTATCAAGAAAAAAAGTAACGATTTTTATGAGATAACGTTGCCAACCCTGGATGATAATATAAAGACTTTAGAATCTCCTTATTTAACTGATATAACAATAATTTTTTAACCGTCATAATAAAAACTTATTTACTATGTATTAAGTGTGAAAAAATTCTAAAATAACACATTATAATAAAGAAGAATAAGAAGGAACTATAAAAGATAAGGTAGTATTTGTTATAATGATGTACGTAGTACAGATATTTTTTTTTATTTTATTAAAATTTATTAAGTTACATTTTAGTTCATATTTTGGTATACGCACGATGTAGATGATAAGATAAATATACAAAACACACGTCAAATATCTTATCAAAATAGTAAAACTGACAACAATATGGTATAAACTGTACAAAAATATGTGTTTATTATTAGTCTGTCGAAAATTTTATGATTCTTTTTTTAATGACTTTTAATATTTATTTTAATAAATATAACATGTATATCAAGGAAAAATATCAGGGTTGACAAAAATCTATTTCTTTTTCGTTTTGATCCGATTAGTGAAATGATGAATTTTAACTACTAGTTAAAATGTATTATTTTTTTTTTGTAACTTGTATCTTATTCAACTCATTTCTTAAAATATAATAAATTGCTTTCCTGACTTATTTAATTTTTTTATCTCTAATTTTTATTTATTTTTTTCATTCCTACGCTTAACTTTGGGCTAGGTAGACTTAAAAACTATGTTAATAACATGCAGGGTAAAATAAAATTATTAGTAAATTTTACTCAAAATCGATTTTGACCGGAACGGTTAGAAACAGGATTTACTTAAAGTAAAATTACTTAAAGTTTATACCAACACTAATTAAAACGTATTATCAGTTTCCTATACTTTGCTGGATAATATTGAATCTGAATATATGCAATATGTTTTACATTTAGTTTTAAATTACCTACTCTAAACATATATACTGAAAAACATATATACTGATAGCATCAATATATATTTATTTAGAGTATATATTAATATTATCAGTATATATGTTTTTCAATGATATTTTATTTACAATATTACGTCTTCTGTGCTACAGTCATATGACTAGCACGAAAACTAGAAACTCAAAACATAGAATTTTTGTCTTAAAACAATCTAACTTCCGAAATTTTCATTTATTCGTTAGACATATGAAATGGTACTGAAAGTTTATCTTACGGTTATAATCAATCTAGCATCCATCTGCTTAAAACAATATCAATCATATCCTTGCGTCTAAATTTTAACTCATATTGCGTGTCAAAAATTTATTTGTTAAAATAGGGACCTCATGAACATACAATGTTTTACCAATATTCTATTGTCCTATTATCAAATATTATCAGAGATAATCCTGAAAAAGAAACCTGAGTACATTTTTTCATTCTTCGCAGGGCGACAAAGTTATTCCTTGGTGCAACCTGTACCCGTCTTACGGTATTATTAATAACGATGATTAAGTCTAATTATTGTCTATTGCCTGGAGGTTTTTGAAAGGGACTAATTCTTTAATGCAATTCTATTGATTCATACGATCATATAATTAATAAGATAAAAAAGTGCTATTAAATTAGGCTGTACTTTTTGGAAATATTATCAAAAATTTTGATAATTTTTGTCTCCGAAACGCACCATTAATTTAATAACACTGTTTTTATTTATATGTCAAATAATCGTATGAATCAATAAAATTGCATTAAAGAATTAGTTCCGAATAGCAGTCATTTTTTAGCTCCAATAGTCTAGGTATTGTACGAACGCTATCATTCCTTCTGAGATCGCGATTCGCTACGGCGGCGATCACTGGCCCGGCTCGAATTAATGCGAGATCTCGCACGAGAGGCGCGAGACGAAAAATTTACTCTGTTCATTCTAAGTGCCGAAGTTGTATCCGGCTCGAGGAAAAACGATCTTTTCAGTCTCAAAATCGCGGAGCGTTAAAAGTCGTAATCACCGCAATACGACTTAACGATCTTTGGTCACACTTACTTTTACGCCCATCTACTCAATTCTGAAACATTTACTTCACGAAACCATCAACAAGCCAGTTGGTATAATTTGCCTCTGTTTTTTTCTTCATTCTCTTTCTCTTTCTTCTATCGTCTGACGGTGTGGCGAGAAGATCAGCCGGTTGAGATTAGATCGTTGCTCCACATCCTGCAACATGCCAGCTTGATAATCGACGTCCTGTCGCAAATATTAATATATAGAACAATGCACCCACGCTATAAATGATAAGCTGTGTGCAATAAATATAATTAGCGATCAAAAAGGAAAAGAGATTACGACCATTTGTTCAAGCACATTCGATATCACATGTATTCCTCAATGAATTTGGCTATTCATTTTATAATAACAAAGAAGCGAATTAAGAATTGAGTGTCCCATTTGGCTGTTACATATATTGCGTGACTTATCTTTTTTTTTTTTTAATTTAATTTAATAACAGATTATTCAGCAAAACATTATTCTTTGAATAAAGAGCATGTTTCCTGTTTACTGTTTGATACATGAAATGTCATATAAAACAATCAAAATATTAATAATGTATTTTTCTTCCCTAAAATAATTATTTAAATGTCTCTTCTTTATTCCTGTAAATGTTCTACTATTTTCTGCTGTAAGTGACTATTGTTTACAGAATGGTCTTATCTCGGTCACATAAAATAGCCCGTAAAAGCAATTTACATGGATATCGCACAATACGTGTGATGTCTACGCATCGCGCGCGTGTATTATTTCCATCTCGAGATATACACGCTCGTTTATAACTTATTCATTTATGTAATTTCTCGCTGTATTCTTCCGGATGCGTGTAGAGATTATTGTAGAAGATAGCAACACAATCGATGCATCTCGCTCTAATTACACGCGAGCGTGACTTTACATCAAGTTACAGAAGCGAATAAGCACAGGAATCTAACAACGGCCTTTTGATGCATCAAATCGCGAACGGTTACCCTGGATGTTTTGAAGATGTATACAACGTAAATAAGATCGGAATGAAATATCAAAAATAAAAATTCCAGCGAACGAAAGCCGCGTTTATGAGTAACGCTTTATTTATTTATATACATTTATTTATTTGAGAACAACGGAAAAGAAGTATCTCATGTTTCTTTTAAGAATATTTTGTTATTCTATAATATTAAGGTAGTTTTTTAATCGAGTTATCATATAAATGTTTAATTTCTTTATATAATTTAGTTTAATTTAATTAATTGCATATTATAATTATGTATTTAAAAATACATTTATACAATTAACTAATAAAGAGCTACGAGCCAATAAAAATTCTTTAAAATCTTTAATTTATTCTAATATAAAAATAATTATAGCATATTATGATACTTGGTTGATAGAAGAAGCACTGAATTTGACGAAGTAATGGTGAGAGGACAAAGAATTGTGGTAACGGGTATCTGGAATGAAACAGGAATGGAAGTCGGAATTGTATGTATAATAAAGAAGATTATGTAGATAAAATGAAGTGTTAGAGCAGAGAAGTCGATAAATAACAACATTGATAGATAATATTAGAACATAGATAGAGGATAAAACGTTGTTGAATCTCTAACCAACCGGAACTTAGATATAAAAGAAATGATGATCATATATGTATTTAAGGATATTATAAGAAAAACGGAGATAGTAATTCAGTACCTATATGCTAAATACGCTGAAACATTTGTTGAGTCAAAGCCGGAATGTACCTATAATACTATATCAGAGAGTAATCGAATAAGAAGATTATAAAAAGTTTCGTTACAAAAGAAGTTTTTGCGAGATTGAAAGCGATGCGACAAAAGGAATATAAGAAGTGAAGCCGTAAGAAAGCAGCTCGAAACTTGGTAATGACATGATTAATGATTATTGAAGGACCATGAAGGATCAACGTAGATATCAAGTAATTTTACGGAAGTGGCACAGAGTTCGCTCATAGCACACTTTATCTGGAATACATCTTGGAGATATCCTTAGAACTCATTAAGGTAGAAGGCAAGAACGGACCGAGAGAACAAAGCTTGACAAAAAGATCGTGATTGACTATGTCGAATGCCTTCGGACAGCCAAGGGCGACTAAATTTTCAGTACCTCAAATTTTCAGCACTTCGCTAAAAAGCCAATTTAATTTTAGCACGTACTGCTTTTCTCAACAAATTGTGAACGTCTCGTTTGATTATGAATCAAAGAAACACGACACAAAAGTGACTTCAGACGTAACTACAGAGAATACAAATCACAAAAGAGGCTGTGCGAGTTTATAAATTTAACGTTTCTCAATAAGGTCCTGTTTTGTTTATATTAAACAATGTCAGATAATCTTCCGAGACTTTATAATGCACTTTTCGTTATGCTTTAAATCTTTCTCCTTTTACAAAAGTACTTACTGCAGATGTTACAGCGTTTCTCATCGGAGCCATCGCCACATCCGTCTCGACCGCTACAAGTTATCGCGTCAGAACGACATCTTCCATTATCGCATCTGAACGGACAGTATCTTAAAGTGATTCTACCGCGATTGCGTGTTCTGCATGCTCCCTTGGGTTCATCGCTACCGTCCCTACAGGAAACTACCGCGTTGCAAAATTCGTATGCTGGCAAACACTGACCATTGTTGCATCTAAACGTACCTTCGGGACATTCTGCACACAGAACAAGAAATCTTACATGTATACTAAAGTAAAACATTACGAGTACATGGAATGTGTAAGGCAAAACGTTAATTTTTTTTTCAGTAAAGTAGAATATACAATAACATTATAAATTATATTGATGAATCATTTAACTATTCTTATAACTCTGCTAAGAAATCATTTAATTTGCAATTATAAGGATTGCAATGATAGAACGCAATCACATAAGCAATTTTTAATTCCTAATAATTTTTTTATTAATGATTTTAAACAATTGTTTTATATAATCCTCATTTGTCTTATAATTTTTAGTAACTACTAAGGCCAGTATTAAAGAATATTTTAATTAATTACACACTTATTCTTGATATTTGATTAAATCTTCATATTATATTATAATATATGTAAAAAGGCTGGACTTGCTTCGAAAATATTAATGCACATATTTCTTCATCTTTTATGCAAGTACCTACATTCCAATAACAATTATTGGACATAAAGATTATTGTTAACAACCTATTATTATGGATAAATTTAAATTTTGAATAATTAAAATTTCAATTGTTACATAGTGTTTCCAAACTTTTGGCTTGGAATTGTATATTACAAAAAATGATTAAATTTTAATATTACTTATAAATATATTTAAAAATACGAAAGAAGCGAAAATACCAACTTCGCCTATTGTTGCAACCAATCTCATCTTCGCCATGAGGACAGTCGCGGTTGCCGTCGCATAGTCCGGACCTTGATATACAAATGTCACTGCCGTTACATCTGAATGCCTGCGCCGGGCAACGAGGACCAGTGCACTCTTCATCGGAGCCGTCTGCACAATCGGTGCGACCGTCGCAGACGAAGAACCAGCTGATGCATCTTCCAGATGATCGGCACTGAAACGTGCCCGATGCACATCCAGCCCGCCGTGCGTTGCAACTGCTGTTCATCGGAAAACTGCAATCGCATACGCCGCCAATGCATCGCGACATCGGATCAGACATACGACATTCCAAATCGGCAATGCATGGCAGCCCCAAGCTGACTGCCGTCATTATCGTACTTTCGTGACGGTCTGTTTTTATTGGCGCTGAAAGACAGAAAAAGTCAGATTAAATTACGGTGTCAAGCGAGAATCGAAACTTTGCGCGGCGCGGCCTTACGAGCGCCAATCAATTAGTTCCATGAAAGACCAAATTGCGAATCATGAGACGCTAAGTAACGGCTGTTATGAACGTCTATAAAACCAAACTCGATTCTGTATCGTTCTAGAAAAATAATGCAACGAATTCTCCAGTTACCATCAAGTTTCTAGAACGATCTAAACATCCGTGATGTAAAACTGGGGCTCTAGACGAGTATTAACTGTCGTGTGTGAGAAAATCATCGTTGTGAAAGGTGCTCTGCGCTCTGTCGATCTAAATTTGCTGGAAATTATTCAAAACTAATGTTAACGAGTTTTTCTATTCTTGGAATAAATTATAGTGATTGTCCTGCTATAATTGCTGAATTTTTTTTTTTATTTTTAAATTTATTTTTAAACCGTTTAAAGTTATTTTTAAACCGTTATCGCTTCTCCATTCGAAACAGCTGGATAGATTTTTATTTGCTAACGATACTAATTTTATCTCAAAAGGTATACAAACAACTAATACAACGATTCAGCAAATGTGATTGGTATCGTATAAATTGTATATTATTTATTATACTGACGAATAACAATAAATAATTCATAATATTATAATAGATCGATTCGTTTTCCTACCGAATCATCATATTTAAGTTATCACTTTTTGTTCTAATAACAAACTCATTTCTTTTAGTGCTTTATCATTGAAAAATATTTTTTAATAAATAATAAATATAAAAGCGTCGATTTTCTTTCTCACCAAAAGTTGTTGTGGTTGTCGTAACTTGAGCGGGTTCAGTAACTTCCGCTTCGATAACAATAGTATCATCATCATCTGGCAGTTCATTTGGTCCGGGACGATTGTTGAATCCAGGTCTTAAACTCGATGACAGTCTTGTCACCAAATTTACCGGTATCAACTGACTAGAAGGTTCCGTCGATAGAAGCATCGATGCGTTCTTTAACCAAGATAACTGAACACCTATAAAAAAAAAGAATATATTAAAAAAAGTACGTTTACAACTATTAGCTAATAATACCAGCTAATAATCACAGTATCTATATAACGTATTAGGAAATCTGTGAAAGTGATAATGGAGAGTAAAAAGATTTCGCAATATGCAATAATCGTTTGTGATTCAGTATATGTATAGATTTTCTTTTTACGCTTTTGTAGAAAAATGACATGTTTCATTAATTATCGTACTAATTAAGAATACGAATCGCCTCATTTCGTTCATCTGTTCGAGGCCGGAATACAAAACCGTTCGGTCTCGCGGATTCCCGTTGCATCCGCGTACACACGGAAAAGCTGATTATCAGATAACAGGCGCGTGAAACTTAGAGAAGCGATGATGCAGCCTGATACAGTTCCCGTACAACATATACATGTCCACGGATCACTCCATGAGAATGTTAAATGACTTACGAAAGAATCAGGTGTTAACTTGTTATAAATTCGCACATTCAATGGAGTACAAAGTTTAAACTACAGTCCCAATTATATGATAATCTCAAAGCTCTATTTTTGTACAAAAAATTTTGTTAAAAAAATAACAGTTTTTTTTTTTTCTATACTATAGGAGCAAAAGGCTTCCTCTTTAGAAAATAAAAAACATTATATGAAGATTAATGTATTAAATACATGTAATTATTAAAACTGTATAACTACTTTTTATTTACAATAGAAAGATTCCTAAAAAATTGATAAAACTAAATTTAATTAGTCAAATATTTCGCTACTTAAAAATCTGTTGAAAATGATTAAAATTAATTAGGCGAAAATATCATTTCCTCGCTCACACACTCTTTTTCCGTGATCATTAATTTTGACATATTAATATTTATTTGACTCACATATGAAATAATTATTTACAATACTAAAGTACAACATTAATTTTTGCGCATTGTACTCTTACTTCATGCATATTTTATATAAGAGGGGATAACCAACATTATTTACAAAAATTCTATACAATTCTATTCATAAATTCTAACGGATCTAAATGAAGATAACTCAATCCAATTTCAATTAAGCGTACCTGTGTCTTGTTCTTTTTCGGCCTCGCCTTTTTGTCCTTCGACGGTAGTTTCTTTGTCGCGTTCAGTCCCAGTGACGTCTTCTATCGGTTCTTCGGTGGAAGGTAGATGCTCTGGAAACGGTACAGGCCTCACGAGACTGTCAAGTCGGCATACGTCGCCTTCGCGACGCATCGGAGCGGTGCATTGGCAGCGACCGAATAAATCCGGAATGAGAAAATCGCAATGAGACTCGGGATCCCAGAGACGGCAATGGGCGTGCTCGTAACATACCTCACCGAGTTTAGCCGCTACAAATTAGATTCGTTTTTAAATTCATGAACTTACGTATATTGCGAGCCAATCTGATTTGGAAAGATACTTATTATTGTCACATCTACAGAAATAAACAATATTTAAATATTATAAAACTTTTTGCCCCTCAACAGATCCAGAGCAAGTAGTGCCTGTAATTTTTAACTTACGGAAAACATAGTATCCTTAAAAACAAGATATAAAAGAAATAAACTACAAAATAAATAGCCTGTATTTATTCTTGCTGTTATTATAAGTACTATATTTGTATCGATCGTTTCCTAATATTTCTATTCTTTAATTTAATGAATAATTATTAACAAGATGTGAACAGAGAACCATTTGACCAACTTAATTCAATATATGACCTTTGAATATTTTTGAAAAAATATTATTGCATAATTTTATTTCAAATATAAAATTTCCGTCAATAAAATAAACGCGTATTGTTTCGTTTACACATAAGACGATTCTACTCGCGACGGTATTTTCGATATATTATGTGTTTTTATGACAAAAATAAATATTAGGTGCTTGAATTAATTCTCGCTGTTGACCGGGAGAGATTCAGGGAAAGTGATTGCTTATGTATATGAAAGTACTATCAATAGGCTTTAATAATCAGTATATAACAATTGATCAGATGCAGAAAACAATTTTTTATCAGAAGACATGGTAGTTCTTCTGGTGTTAATGTCAAGTCAATGATATGTATGTGTAATTTTAATTTGTGTTGAATAAAGTAATGCAATTTCGTGATATAATTATTTTTTGAAGAATAATTGGAATACTACTACAGCTTAAGTTAGAATAGGAAGATCCTTTAATGGAAATACAAAGCGTATATATACTTAGGTTTTTAATGATTCAGATACATAATTTTACAACACGTAATTTAATACCCTTTAATTAAGTGCGTTAATCAAAATGAAAATGTACTTACGTCCTAGACAAGTATGTCTGCGAAATTGCAGGTGTCCCTCCTCACATCTGCATACACTCTCAAGACAGCTGCTGTTCGCCACTTTCAAAGAGCATTGTTCCTTCACGAGACAATCGTTACCCAGTAGAGTTGCTACAACATTACAGGCAGCAAATCTTACATTATGAAGCACCGCTTCCTTTTTTAAAATAACCAAATACTCCTAAACATTTTTTTCTGATACCTCTCCCCCATCTATATTCTTGGCAAAATCTTCGAAATTTTTACACTCTAAAGCGACTGTTCAAGAACATTAATTTTGGTCAATAGACGAATACGAGAAAGCTGCGGTTGGAGAAAATAAAAGAATACTTTGACGAACTTACATTCGAGACAATGGGTTCCATTGTAACCGGCGAAGAAGGACTGACACTGGCAATAACCCAAGTAGCAGTGGCTATTAGCGATGCCGATCTCACACTCCCGATCTTGGTTGCACTCGTCACCGAGTCTCACGCTCGTCGAAGTGGGAGACGATGAGGCCAATCTCTACAAGAAAGTCGAAGATGACAATCGCTCTTCCTTTTAGCGACCTAATTTTACGACAGAAGCTAGACAAAAACTTTTTTAGACTTTAACAAAAGATTAATGCAAAGGAAATAAATTTTGTATGCTTATAAGTCTGTGAATTAATTAAACGCCTATTAAAATTTTGGAATGTAACAGTAAGAGTACAATAATTTTTAGTATAACAATAGGAATTATAAATGGTTTAATAATTAATAAATTCAATTCAGTTTGTTATTAGAAGCTTTAATTTTTCAAATTTATAATTTTTAGTTACTTTTTATATTAAAAAAAAGAAGAAATAAATTTACGCGTTTTCCTTTTTCTTTTTTTTTTATATCTTATTACAGCTAATACGTATTACATTAATTTTATATACACTCACTCGCAATAAAAGCGGTACACTATAAATATGAAAAAATTAAACTTACCAAATTAAATTTACTTACTAAATTAAATTAACTAATTTTTGTATCAAATTAAATTAAATTTACCACAAATTTGAAATAATCATATCTTGCGGTAAATAATAAAGATAAAAATATGTTTAAAAAGCAAAATAAAGCTTGAAATATTTACTTCAAGATTATTCGAATAGAAATTAAAGAAAACTAGGCCATTATTTTCAAAATTGCAGCACATGACAGCTTTTTCACGACTGGTTGGCATGATATCTACGAAACTAATAGACTGATCATCTTCCGCTTTGAACTGCATGTTGAGGAAACGTCCCTTTATCGTTCGATGAAAAAAGAAAAACAATCCGTGTATATACTTTTCCTTTATTGTAAAAAAATTCAGCCAATTTTTAGAGCGAAATCGATGATTTTTACCGCCACTTCCTCAATTATCAATATTTTTTTTGCCTGTTCATCCAACGATAACTATTTGTATATAAAAGTAAACCCCTATCAGATTTTTATATTTCAGATGACCAGGACGGAAGGTATCTTGCCAACCAATGACGGAGATACTTATAGCGTGGCACTATGTTCGAAATGAAAATCCCTCCCCCCCCCTTAAGTCGGCAGTAGTCCACCTCAGGACTCACGGTGGAAATGGAAATAATAACAGAATCACGCGTACACTCGCAGCAGATTCGCGACTGAACGCTTTAAGCACCGCAAGATGACACGGCATCCGTTGCACGCGTATATACACCGTTAGCGTACCGCGGTGTACGTTCCATGTTAAATGACGCGCGCAATATTATTCGAAGGCAAATCGGCGAATCTTACCGATGAGTTAACACTTGAATATACAATCGTAAGATTTTATTGCAATTCCCGTCGTGTCTATAACGTAACCGTGCCATTACGGATTAATGACCCCGATGCACCGATTGCCATATCAAAGAATTGGGACACTGTCGCTTTATATCCCGCAGACTTTTTTTCCTAGAAATATTATGTGAACATAATTTTAAGATACGAGGTTCTGATGGAGACCAGAGCTTAACTGTTTTAACCCTCCTATTACAAAAACGTAACAATACACAGATACCGTAAATCTGAAAATATATTTCCAATTTATCGACCAATTTATTCTCCATTCACGGGAATAATTTTTGCGTTTACCATACGGTGACAAGCGATTTTCAATTATGTACGCATCTCACGTGCAAATTGAGGAGACAGAATTGCCCGTACATCCTGAATCACGAACTGCCGTTTTATATTTACGAATAATCCGTAAACGTGTCATTCAAGCAAAACGATAGATCTATCGAGCAGATGCGATCGTCTACTGATGAATAATTAATACGCTCTCGTGAGTGAACGCGTTTGTTTCTACGTCAACGACATTCACCGTCCTCCTGAAAAAAAATCAAAACAGAGTCGTATATGTTCGCCGAGCGTCATGCTTTTGCGGTCTTTGCAAAAGCATGAGAACTCATATTATTTATCAATCCATATTATGCTGCTATAAAACACACGCGATTGCTAAGCGTATACATTTCATTTCATAACAATTTAACAATTTACATGTACGAGGGCACACGGATATAGTCACTCATATGTGGGATCAAAAAAATTAATCCACACCTTCAAGAGAAAGCGACAGTTAATCGGCCGTTGCACGCAACGCCACGTGTATGTACCATACAATATATATACGTGGAGATGCGGAGCACGATTCCTAGCGTGCATAGCGCCGCACTCGAGGGTGGCAAGATGAAATTTTATATTCAACGCAAACGCCTCCAGCTGGCTCTTAATTACGCTTAACGAACCGAGCCAATTTAAACGCAGAATAGAGCAACTGCAGTCGGTTCCGAGGAGGAGGCGCGTCGAAGATAATCGCGATCTGCAGAGAGTGCGGAGTCGGTTCCCAGGCGGAAATTCCATTCGCGCTTCAGCTACTATCCCGAAGGATGATGGAATTACGCACAAACCTACGAAGAATAATCTAAAAATTGCATTTCAAGAGGAATATATAATCTAAAGAGTTGACACGTAAAAAGGATATTTAAAATACGATATACTTGAAAAAAAAAATCAATTGCATTTATCATATATATTGTTAGTACCAGAGAAGCACTTGAATCTGAACTTATAGTCTTAGGAGGGGATTTTTCCTTGTTAAACAAAAAACTGTGGAATGATGACAATAACGTAGCACACACGTACACATTTTGAAACGATAAATGATTTCGAGGTTTAATAGTTTATATTTATACTCTCTATTGTATAAAATTTAAAACAACCGCGGACACAATTTCCTTTAATAAATCAGATTTATAATTTCAAATCTTTTCAGTGACTTTCTTTGTTTAAGGTGGTGCCAATGAATAACAAAGTTGCGATTACAATTATAATTATTACTTATCATGTAATATTAAATGCAAAACATCGTTTCATTAGAGAAACCCATTTTTCGATGTCTTCATAAGAATTGAAGAGAGAATTGAAGCACAGAGTCTGGTAAATAAGCCGCATGGGATAGCACTTGCCAGTGAAGTGCTTCCAAATGTTTCCTTAACAGCCTCAGTGATTTTTTTAGACCATGAATAATTTTACTAGTTTTGAATCTTAAATAAAGCAAAATTACAATAAGTTCTTTTTATTTTTCCGACATTAACAGTTCACTTAATTATTTAAATAAAATGTATTAAGTTTCAAATGATGAAAAAAAAACAAAACCCTTATGTGTTGAAAAAAAGAAGAGTTTATCTGGAATTATTATTACTCATTAATCATTTCACAATTTATGAATCAATCGAAAAACAATGAGATTTTGGAGAATCGGATCGAAATAATGCGACGTAATTACCGCGGCGACACGGCGACGGTTAATTATGTGGCGTGATGCGCTCTTAATTTATGCAGCTGTCGTTGCATATAAATTTTGTCGCAGCTGCAATGAGAAGCGCGATCGAAAGATATGTGCGTTCTGAATGGTTGAATTTATGAGTACGTGCCTTCGCTGTCACGCCAACAATTTCACGGTCGGCAACACACGAAATACGTTTCGAAGCTCGCACAGGATAACGTTACTCTGAATAGTAATAAATAACATACAATAAACGTGCATCTTTGCGCGGAGTCGAACGACTTTGGAAATGCACATTACACACGTGCTCTTTTAATTTATATAGGATGTGCTAGTTATCTCTATGCTCGTCTATGAACGTTATCAATCGCAGATAAATCTTTCATTGTAAGAACTAATAAATATTTATTACTTTATCAGCAGCTTTTACTTTGTTCCATTTAAAATAGCTTTAGTCATAAGCACCCTCAATTTATTGTATTTTCAAGGGAGAAGGTAATAAGATTTGTAGAAAAACTAACAAAATATTCAAGTTGTTATGAATAATAAATATTATTTTTTAATAAAATTTTATTTTTAATTTATTTTTGTTAGATATACAGGATAAGGGATTTTAATCGCCTTAGGCGAATATCTCAAAAACTAAGAGAGATAAAAGAAAAAGTTTTATATAAAAGAGTTGTAGGTTTTCTTTATTTTTTATTGCATATTCTTGTAGAACACCTCGAGAGCTTTCACTATAATAAAGTGTTTTTTCATTAAGTACTTTGCGAGTTATAAGGCTGGAAAGTTACAGTTTCGCCGGTATTAACATTACCCAAGGTGTACCACGTGGAGGTTACTTAGTCGGATTTAATCTCTTGTGTGCATACGTGCGTATATGATACACACCTGAATTCGCTTTCTAAATGCTGAAATTGCACGCACGTGAGTGGCAAGGGGCTCACGTAAATCAAGCACCCCAACGGGGATGAAATCCCCGTCACGTCCGCGTCGTTCATCCTAGATAATGCTAAGCGCGGGAGAATGCATGCAGTCAATCTGTGGAGCTGAAGAATTAGATAAATCTCTAAACTGTAACTTTCAAGTATCTTTGAATCTGTAAATATTCAAGTTTCCCGCGCGATTGAACTTATATAATATTCTCGAAACTCTCTCTTCTTAAATAACATTCTCAAGATTGACGGTCCGAATGATTTTATTACACGATAAACGAGAAATCACAGTTTACGGTCGTACGTAAAAAAAAAAAAAACTCGACGGTTCGCATAAAGATACACGGCCGGTTTCGCGCTGCATGCCTCTGCGCGAGACACTCTACCGCGTCTCCTAATATTTCCAAAAATCATTTCTCCTTAAAACAAGTGTAGTATACAATTTATCCTTCAGCAATCAACTGAGCCAATTGATTCTCGATTTCGGAGATAATTGCATGCCCCCGGAAACGTCGATTTTCCCGGCAGAACAATTTTCCGTAACGTGCACCTCTCGCGGTATTCAGACTCTCATCAGGTCGAAAAAAAAATGCATCGAAAAATCTAATCGTTATACCACGAGAATAATTGTCAGGCGTCGATTGCAAGGTATAACGATGGTATATTCGCGCACTGTGATGCATGGTAGCATCAGATCGTCGCAATTATCTCATGGGATACCGGTACCCGGTTTCCAACGCGCGTGCATGTATTGGTAACTCGAGCATTACCTCGGCTATATATCTATTCTTGCCGTACATGGGAATCGCGTTTCACATGTGCGCGCCATAAAATGCACTTGGGATAAAACAAGGGTAAAGTGAGAAAAAAAGTTTACACCTGAGAAAAATCGCGTCGGGAAGAAGAGTCGTAAAAACTCAAAAGATGACTTGCTCGACTCGTGGTACTCTTAATTATCGTTGCCTGCATCTGCAATCACCTTGAGGTAAAACCTTTTTGCTCTAATCGTTCATACTCTTGTCAATCTTTTTCGTATGCAGAAACAAACACGTGATTAACAACAAGTAGTATTCCAAATACTCATGGAATATTCCAATACTTGGAATACTTTTTCTTGTCATTTATAAATTATGCGTTCGCGTCTGCGAAGATTATTTTCCAGCTGCGTACAGGGCGTCTTTTGCGAGCTTAGAAAATAAATGAGTAACAAAAAAAATTAATTTACAATAAAAAGTAAATACAAAATCTTAAAAAGTAAGATCTCTTATTTTAATATATAGGATTGCTTAACAAATTTTTACAGCTAATTTTTTCGTTCAAAAAGAAATGATAAAGGATAATAATAATTCCTGAATTATAAACAATTAAAGTTCGCGGTAAAAGTTCTTTCCAAATTTAATTTATACAGAGATAACGAGAATATATCTTAATAAAATTTTAATCTCATCATCAGTGTTACGAAGACAACTTCAAATCTTTGCTAAGAAAATGTTATAAAAATTTAAAAATATATTTGATTAAACTACTCCTGTCTACACTTTCTGTATTCATTTTTAAAGGATAGCCTATATATATATAAGGTAACATCGATATCGGTAAAACCGCTGACTATTAAACGTGAAATGAAGCCACTCACAATAACAGATGCGACAGTAGCAAGAAAGACTCGAAAGGTGAAGGTACCCTGCATAATGCAACGAAAAAAGAGAAACGAGCCGTATATTCAGTCGCATCGTTGCAGACGAGATTGCAACTACCGCTGCGTAGAACTAGGAGGCGGAGTTCTCCGAGTTCTGTTTGTCTGCAAATTGGCCCTCGTGGTTGTGGTCGATCTATTTTCTCCAGCCCTTCTCCGCTTTTCTCCCATCTTTATCCACGAAAACAATAGATCGGCTCTTACTAGCACAAGTGGATCTATAAGGAAGTTGATGCAATTCGAGGCCGACTGTTGAATATTGCAAAATAATTTTGTTCAACAATGTCGAGAAATTGCGTAATACAGAATAATTGTTTTCAAGATCTTTAATCTTAAAATGTAAAACGTATTTAAAGGTATGCATAAATAGTTTCAATTTGAAATAGACCGATGAGCATAAATCTAATTAAACGAGAAAATTCTATAAATTCACACGGAAATATTTATATTACAATAAAATTCATTTTGACCGAAAAATAGGATTTTCCTTATTTTTTTCTACTTCACACAAATTATAATTATTTATACATACTTTTTTTTTTTAAATAATGTTTCTTTATAAATATTGTCGAAACCTCGATAATCAAATGATGAAGTTGCACGCACAGAATATGGAAGATCCAGGTTCGAATTTTGCTGAGGCAATATTTCTCGCAATAAATTCGCAGATAAGATGTTTTTTAACATCAAATTATTAATAAAAATGCTTATTAGCATAAAAAAAATATTAAACTGCTTGTCAATTGATATTACCACTCTGATTTCCTTCACGATTAAAAATGAGTTTCTATAATACATAAATACATAATTCATTTTTTGCGGAAAAAGAGTACGCAATGTAAAAGGTGCGATACCGTAACATGAGATAATACATAAGAAGAAGTGGCGCTCAGAGAGCATGCTATTTGCGACCATTAAAATGTAAGAGTTTTAAAGTAGATTAAGCATGGGAGTAATACTGGGAGAAACGTTTTATGACCTGATTTTAGACATTTTTTGTGGTCTGGGAAGAATCTACAAGGATTTGCGACATCCTGCACTCATGATAATGGATCAGTACAAAAATGATAATAGCAAGTCGTTTAAGTTCTCGATCATCATGGGCGAATAAGAAAACTTTTCTGTTAAGAAAAGAACATCGTATAATGAAGAAAATTTTCGATTATATATGATATAATTATGTTCCCAAAAAAGAAAAATACATCTTACTTATACACTCTTATCACGTAGGTACGTTTAAAGTAAAATATTTACTTCTCGCTAGAAAATGACCTCAGGTGATATAATCCAGATAGGGGGATTCCACGGCCCAGAATGCATGCCTCTTTAACACAACTCGCATATTCAACGGACGACACATCGACGACGCAGCGGTTGACGTATCAGAGTCCAACGACCCACGAGGTCATGTAAGAATTATGATTCTACATGCGTATAGCCGAACATAGTCTTGCCGGAAGACTGGCGAGTTCTTAACTATACGGAACTGTCTGGAATTGATTTCTGTTAAAATTCAACCGCTTAAAAAGCCTCATAGTTCACGTCTATTGTTAACATTAATAGAACTTTAATTTATATTCAGAATAATCTGAAACTCGTTGACAAAAGAATAGGATTATTGATACCGTAACAACCCAACAACACCAAGTCTAAAACAACAGTCTTGTAACAAAGGACGTCTTTAAGTCCTTTAGGATGCAAGAAACGTTTTCATCACCTGATTTTAGACATTTTTGTTGTCTGGGAAGAATCTACAAGGATTTGACGAAAAGTTAAGAAAACTTTTATATTAAGAAAGAAACATCACGTCGTATAATGAAGAAATTAGAAACTTTTCGATTATATATGATAATTATGTTCTTAAAAAGAAAACGCGGAGAAATAATTATTATATTTATATGCGTTTTACTATAATCGAGAAGCAGGTCTAAAATATTATTTTATATGTTATAATAATGTCACAAACTACAGATTTCTGTATATTAAACTAGATTGCTTGTCAAAAATTTGCCAAAAATATACATAATGTTCAAAATAAGGCCCACCCAGTCCACGCATCCAATCAACAGAGAGATATACGATATATCTTGAGCCAAAGAGATATGATATCTTGAATTAACACCACACGACTTGTTGTGGCATCTATTTTCTATGCGCGTTCGGTCAGGTAACAGTCTTACACTGTGCATTTAATTCGCGCAGACAGTACTTTTACATAAGGAAATGTGTGGATTGAGTTAGCAGTCTCTAGACTGCTAATATATAATTGGTCTACATTTTAGGATTTAACGGAATATGCCAATCAGAAAGAGTTCACTGAGCGCTCAGTGAGAGGTTGTCGTTCTAAATTGCACATAAAGTGACATGTGCTTGTACATACAGAATGCATGAAAATATTTCTCCGAAATCTCTTTATTAGTTTGTATAATTTTTCTCAAAAACTTGTAGACGACATTGCGTACATTGAGAAGATGGTTAAAAAATAATACACATTGCTCAAAGACACAGTTTTCAACTTGGTTTTCAAACAAGACCAAAAGTTGGCCTTTCTTTTGTAATGTCGTAATTTAATCATGACTGTATTTATTCGAACTTTATAAAACAGGAAATATAACATATACGGAATTAGGAGAAGTAAATTCAGATATTTGTATAATGGTACCTGCACTGTTATACTATATACAGTGGATTATTTCAAGTGACGCATTGATTTTTCTCGAAAATCAAAACTTGTATCGAGAGAGAGAGAGAGAGAGAGAGAAAAATATTTTTTATATATTATGTACCAAATCTCCTGCCAAACTGCGCATCGAATTGATTTTTCGGCGCGCAATTTGGCAGGATTTAATTTTTTGAAACGCTACACCGACAGAACAGCCTTATATTACTATCACAAATTAAATTGTCTGGTAATTTAATAATTTGATGCTCTCGTAGGCATCTTAGGATGATTTTAATAATGCAGATAAAAAATATATTAAGATCTGTAAATAACTTAAACAAGTTTTATTTACTTCAAAGATGATATAAAATACGGTGTCATTGGTTTTATTACCAAATATATTATTATTTATATCGACATTGAACATTGCAATTATAACTGCTCTCTACAGTTATAAAATATATGCCAGAATAAAGTATAAAATCCGTAAACTGTTCGTTTCTCTATATCTCTATTTTAATACTTTCATACACGGGATATTAATCCACGGCAATTACAGTTAAACGCCAAACGCCAAAGCTTGTGCGTTTGCTTTTACGTCTACAACTTAAGATTAATAACAAGAAACAAGATTACGGTAATTCTTGTGTGCAGACCTTAAACACATTAGGCTATATCTTGATGTCCTGCAGAATGCACGCAACGACGATAATAACACGCGTGTTACACGTAAAAGATTACCCCATTGTGTTACAAAATGATAAGTGTATAAAACGGCCAAAAACAAAACGTTTTCGGCGCTCACTCTCGTTTCCAGCAAGCGAAAGGCGAAGAGACTGCCAAAAGCTGGCAACCCATATAATAGCGCGCAACCCTAATACACATAAATGTGAAAAATTCAGGAAAACATTCACGGAGAGGCAAGATACAAACTCACCAGACAATTCATCATCGTGCACAGAATAAGAATCGTCGCACGACTTCCGTGCATTATTTCCGCTTTGCTGATTACGCAGCTCCTCCAGATCGAATCGATTCCCCGCTTCGCCTGCGACGGACGCATATATATCATCGCCGACAACGAGCGCGCGGATCGTTTTGGATTTATATGCACGCGGGAAGGCGGAAGGGTGATCGCGTGACAGCCGCGGTATACGAAGAGGAATACAAACAAGCGCGTGCAGAGAGCGGCGGATCCTCTCCACTGTTCCTCGCGACGGTATATATCGCGTTTACGCGTCTACGTGAGGATAACTGAAACGAGACTGAACGGACCCCCGTCGGCCTGACTTTCGGCGCGGAGCAACAAGAGGAACGGAAAAGCCGCAGCCAAGATGGGGCCGCCCGTGTCCTCCCACCTTCTCCTTCGCCGGGGTCTCCCCGCGTCTATCCGAGTTTCCTCCTTCTCCGCCTCCTTCTTCTTCTTTTCTTTTCTTCATTGTCGGTTTTCTCAATCGGACGGAAAAGCGAGAACGCTCTTCGCTCCCGATGTTTGATGGATACTTTTTCAACTGAAATATTTTTTTTTTTTTTTGACTAAATTATAGGAAATGCAAATGTTGAATCTTATATAGGACTGTACATGTGAGAAACAGAACCGTAATAAGAAGATGCTTTTCGAGCTAGATTTTAGGGGCGAATTGTAATTCCAATTATAATTTATATATATTACGTTTGTAGTCCTTTGAACCGCGCGCCGAACAATTTTTTTGGTTCTAGGCTAGATAATTTAACTCGTTATAGATATTATATTACTTATAGATATACTTATTAGATAGATACTTATTGCGGAGTTTCGTAGATTTTTATTTTATGTTATTTCATATTTATTTTATATATTTTTGAAATAAAATAATTATGATTTGAAATAAATTATTTCTGATTAATGTAAGTGACGGTCAAGTAGGATTTTGGTTGCTGATGTAATGTGTGAATTTTATTTACCACGTATGCAGTCCCCTTAATCGCGTGCCGAAATTTTTTCAGACTTACAACGCAACACTCTAAACAACTACCGTAGTAAAATCACTTACAATTAGTTAAATTGACAAGCAATCTAACAAGTTTTTATGCTTATAGCGTCTTGTTGGATCTTAATAATATGTTGAAAGACATATTAAAATTTTAACGATGTAATGTTAAAGTAATGACAAATCAAAAAAAAATTTCGGCACTCGATTAAGGGGACTACATTAAGGGGATTAACACGAACGAATATGTGTTGTGTTATGATATCGTACGGTGCGGTGCACGCGTGTCTTATACACTTCTTATTGTATAGCGGCCGACTCGCTCTCAATAAGCGCTAATGGAAAATACTTTTCTTCGCTCATGGTTTTAATGCGTTATACCGTTTACTCTATTACTCTCTGATTTGAAAATATCTTTCTTTTTTTGAGTACGTGTATGTAACACATTCTAGTGCCTCATGTATGCCTTCACCGTGTCATTTCTTACATAGCATGTAATATATTATAGTAATATTACAATATAATAATATTGTAACATTCAGAAATATTACGAAGAAATATTGCAGCAGAAATACAATATTACAGTTTATATGTTCATACATATACAATATATATGTATATGTTATTTAGTTTCAACATTTCAAAGATTCAAAATTTATACTTAAAAAATGTATTTATAAAAAAAATGTTGAATGTATGATTTAGTATAAAAGTATATTTTTATGATTTATAAAAATATGTTTAAAAATGTTTTTATTAAAAAAAAAAAAAAAAAAAACAATTATTAAGTACATTTTCCACCAATTACATTTCTTAACTTTTGTTTTTACTTTAGATTTGTGAGCCAATATTTGAGAGCTAGTCGATCAGTTAATTTAGTTAATTTAGTTACTTTGACATAAAGGAAGAAGTTTCATTTATCGTTTGTAATAATTGTAATAGAGAACAGAGATATTGAGACTATATAAATATCATAAAAGGAGTCTTCTAGTTTTCTACATCAAATGATCGCAAATACATGTACATATATATATACATCTTCGTTCGTTAGCTCTAAAAAAAAGTTTCGTTTTTTTCGAATATATTCGATATAATGTCTATTCATTCGGAATGAATATAGATAGTTTTAAAAAATCTGAATAGTCGATATTTTTGCTCGATATTGACATCCCTACTCCGATCTGTTTACTCTCCCTTCTGGCGCCCTTCCAGTCCGACTCCGAAAGCGTACGCCGAGCAATTTACTAGTTTACTGTCGCTACATGGGATACTGGCCGTATCTTCGCCTGCGAGTCGTATGAACCAGTCATTGAGTGATTGTCGAGTGTGATAAGTGCTGTTTCTGATTCTTGCCGTTTAGTTTTTAACCTGCTTGTAAGTAGATCCTGTGGTTTTCCCTCGCATATATCTCATCACGATTCGTAATTCTTCTCCGCTGCAATTATGCCAACAGCCTCGAGCTTGTTCAAAACTTCTGAGAAGACTGAAAAATTTTTGTAAACCAATATATCTCACTTTGCCTGAATTAAAGGGTAGTGAATTAGATCGAGACGAAAGACATCTTGCTTGTTAAAGTCGAAAATGGATATTTGCATTATAGATAGTATTTCATAAACCACAAGTGCTTACAGTTCCATAGTAGTATGTTACAAATAGTTTTGTATGTTGAATTTTTAATATGTCAATGTTTTATATTCCTTTTTTTAATAAGTTAAAAAACTATGCAGTTACTGCATAGTAGATTAGTTTATACTTGTTCGATAGTTCTTTACAAAAACTTACACAGCTCAGACGACCTTGATCTTGACATACATAGTCAAGGTCATAACCATAATCTTAAGGTTAAGGTCAGTGTAGTTTTTTTCAAGAATTATCCAATTATTTATTTACAACAAAGAATTGGAACAAATTTTTATGTAAAAATATTTTACAGAAAATGTCTTGGCTCTTTGGCAAAAAGAAGCATAAGGATTCACCTCCTGAAAGGGATGAGCAGGAGGAACGACATACCACAGATCTACGGGATGACTTCATAGTAATTGAAAGAAGGACCTCCTTGCCATCTAATATTGGCGATCAGAATACTCCTTATCCTAATAGACTGTATCCACTTCTCGATGGTACGTCAATGAACCCTACAGTATCAGCTGACAATTTACCAAAACTGACTCAACAACTTGATGCTTCACATTATCTAAGTGATGTACCATTTAAGTTATGTAAACAATTACAAAGTAACATGAATAGTGACTTGGAGATAGACAGTCTACGGATTAGCGAAATAATGTCATTTATTGAAAGATTAGAGAATCAGAATTACAATTATGATTTTTCTCTTGAAACTGGAGTTATTACAGAAATGGATAGCAGAACTACCGACTGAATTGAAACTCTTTTCAATCTTTAAATATACGTAATGTAAATTTTATGAATCAAACTATATTAATTCAGTTTAAATAGGTTTGCACCGACTTAGATTGGATTAATGACTGCATGTTCTCTTATTGATAGAACATATGTGATGTCAACCAATAGTAGAGCATTAATCCAAACCAAGATGTAAACTTGCTTGAGTCGAAAACATTATTAGATGTATATACTTCGTATTTTTCAATTATATACATATATAACAAAATATGTATAATAAAATATTTTAAAAAAGTAAATATCACGTAGTATAATAATTTCATAATATAGTGATGCACAACTAGCGGCCTACATGTGATTCTCTGCCAAAAAATATATAATCATATTTTCTATTTTATGTAAATGAAATAAACACGTGACCCGTAAGATTTTATCTATTTATGAAACTAGCACTTTGAAAATGTTCCTCTAAAGATGGCCATTAAAAAAAGGTTGTGTATCACTGCTATGAAAACATAGCAGTTAAATATTTAATCCTATTTTACACTATTTTTTGAAAACATTCCTATCTTTCATACAAGAACAAATAAAAACATGACATTTTAAATAGTTGAAAGAATATTTAATGTTTAAGAAGAAAAAAAATTAGTTGGCAGACATAAATTACAAAAAAAAAAAGATAGCGTCTAATCAAAATTTACTTTTTATATAGCAAATAAAAGTGAGATACAATAATCAAATTATAAATTTTACTTTAACAATTCAACAAATTAACATTACACGTATTAGCTGTATGATTCAGCCCTCTTCAGATGTACAAATAAACTTATGTAACAAAAATCTATCTTGTTATATTATAAAACGCAAACTCGATATAAAGTTAAGGTATGCTATTTTGAAGAAAAAAGATGCGATGGACATTCTGAACAAAATAAAATCGTCTTCTTCAAAATGACACTCTTCTTTTGAGAAGATGATTAAAGTGGAACACACACGCACGCGCGCACACACACATACACACACACGACATAATTTTATGAAAAGTCATATACTTATCCTTGAACTTAATTTTACTATAAAACATTTATATAGATAAAGTGTGTACATTATATGTGTATATTTTAAATTGTAAGAGTTAAATAAATTATATTTACATCTGACAAATGTAGGTGGAAGTTGTATTCTATATTCATAAAATAGAACATGGCATAGTTCCCCTCAAAAGTTTTCTGGATATACAAAATTCTTTATAATTAACATCTGTACCTGAATTTTAAATTACGACATAATTTTAAATACATATAATTGAAAATATAATAAAAGTATAATATGTATAGTGTTGAAAGTACGGTAACAATGTGAAAAATGAAGTCATGTATTATCTTAATTAAAACATTTGAATTTGTGGAATTTAAAAATGTTTTACTGAAAAATTACTAATTTTGAAATATGTCTTTTTTATCCAAGTAATTAATATACATATAAACTTAACAGCAATACAATTGTAACAAATGCGCAGAAAGGTAACCAGGTCTTAAGGAAACCTAGAATACTGAAATGAATATAGTAGTTATTAATAATAGAAATTACATACATAAATTTTTTTCCGTATTTTGTTTTTACCTGACGTACTTCCCATAAAGCAACATAAGAAATGCAAGTTTTACCATATTCCACTTGTTCGAGTTATCGTATGACATCAAATTCAAGGCTGTTGCCACGTGTGAGTGGCAATTATCGCAGAATAAATTATGCTGTAAGAAAGTGAATTTTGCATTGCAAATAGAGGAGCTTTTTCTAGCTTTTTCGATTTTGTTACCATTCTGGTTTTGTAAATTTCGCTAGCTTCTGCCACACCAGCATCCCATCCTTGTGTGGCTCCTTTGGCTTTGGTATGATCAAGCTGCCAATATTTGGTAGGCTTACCAAATCCCATGTTGTCTTCAGAAACATAACAAGAACCAGCAAAATCCCTTATTACTCCTGCTGACGTCGCAATACCCATATGTCCAATAAAAGGAAGAATGTATCTTGAAATCAAGTACACAAATTTTTATTTTAAATACAAACTTTATAATTCATTTAGCATGATTAATATTGATGTGAAAAATTGATATATTTGATGAATTATTTTTACATTTTAAAAATAGCTAAACATTAGTCTGACAAATATCAAATAGAAAAAGAATAAAGGCTCCAATGTTTAAAAATATATGGAACAAAAAATTGTCTTTGTGAACCATCGCAGGATGTTTTTTCATGAAATAATAATAATATATTTTCAATAAAAATTACAGACGTTTCAACATTATTGTGTCCTCTTCAAATATGTGATGTACAACAACGGATTGTATAATATAATTTGTAATTAATTATGTTAATAACAAATTATCCAGATTAGAGTCGAGGTTATGATTAGAACACATGTATATGCCCAATTTCTTCACTTCCAGGTAAACTGTGGATAACTTTATTCAGGAGATATCTCCATTGTATTCTAGAAGATACCCACTTGGATAAAGCTATTTAGAGATGAAGAAATCAGAATGACTTACGTTAGGATAGGTAAAGGAGTCCAAACGATACAGAAAGGAAATCTTTGTCTTTCCGGGTGGACGCTGAGATCCATCTCGGATAAATCATTTGACAACTCTATGATATCTGTCATAAGTCGCTAATGCCAAATGCAGCGAGTACCCCCGCTAAGGACCTCAAGTATATAAAAGAACAACATTCACAATAGAGATAGGTAGTTCCAATAAAAACACAGGTATATCATTCCCGTGGATGCGCAGTTTGTCTAAAAAGTAGAACCAATCAGAAATTGCCTAGGATGTTTCAATATGGCTGCGAAGTGACAACAATAAGGGCCGGTATTCATAGCACCGGTTCTTATTTAAAACCATCTTAAGGCCTGATCTACAATAAGTCGGGAGCCGTTGTCGTATGTCGTGCCGTAAGAAATTGGCCAATCATGGTCGAGCAATCACCTTAAGCCGGAATCAGACTACGGATTGAAAATTGAGATTGAAGATTAAAAATTGAACTTTGACCAATGAGAATAAAAGAATTTTTGCTCCTATTATTTTGATTGGCCAAATTTCAATCTTTCAATCTTTAATCTCAACGTTCAATGCGTAGTCTGATTCCGGCCTTACGATTCGTACTAAAATTTTCGTACGTGTGATGGCCTTAACGCAGCCTTTTCATTGGTTTGTGAAACCTCAAGACTGGACTTAAGCCGTAATCACATTAGCAATTGCGCGATTGTGATTAGACGATTGAGGATTATTTCTCAACCAATCAGAGCAAAGCAGTCACCGATTGTTTTGTTACGATTGGTTGAGAAGTAATCGTCAATCACAATCGCGCAATCGCTAGTGTGATTACGGCTTTAGATGGTCTTGAATATGGTCGCGTTCAGCAGATTCTACAGTTTTACAACTCTCTCTTTCTTTTTTTAGAATCTCTTAAGCTTACAACATGCTTACATTAATGATTAATTAACGAATTTCACAGAAAGGTATTGTGATTAAAAAAAAAATCTAAAGATAGTTGTACTATATTGTATCTGTATATTTCGGACTCATAAAGACAATTTATAGTGCTTATGAAGATTCAAATTTTTCAGCACAATAACAAAGTAATCTACTTACATCACACTATTATAAGGATAATTGAAAACTTACAGTGAATACATTACAGTCAAAATCGCGTAGCATGATAGTAATCGCAATTAGAATAAAAGCGTATCAATTAAAATGTATGCCTGTACCTTAAAATATATATCTACAGTGTATCTCATGGGAAGTTATTCAGCTATCTAACTAATCAGTTATCATTTTTAAATGCGTACACAAAGAATAAGAAAAATAAAATATCCTTTTTAACAGAGGATTCATTTCCGTCTGAAATAAAAATGCAAGCAGAAATATTTACATTATTTAATTGTTTATAAAAATACCAATGTCATTCATCAACACACATCAATCTCACTTTCGAAATACTAAATTCTTATATATATTTCGGAATTTTACAAACACTTTTTTCTATTAAAAGAGACATTGGTTTTTTAAATTTCTGAAATATATCAAGAATTTTGTATTTCAAAAATATATCATAAAATATTAAGATCAATGATATTCAGTACTTTTATAAACATTTAAATGATACAAACATTTCCAATCATATTATACCAGAAGGTTTGCGGATTATCGCCGAGTCTTTCTTCATTATTAATGCAAACGTTTCGTGAACCATGCCGTTTACTTTATTTCAAATAATGTTTACTTTCTATGCAAATAAAATTCCTTTATAAAAAAATCTTTCATATTTCCTATTCCTTGCATTTAAAATTAACAGCTGATTTATTTCAACAACTTCCCATATAACTGTATTAGATATTCCCGCTTTTGAGAAGCAAACAGATTTCCACAAAGCTCTGATCTAATTGAGCAGTTTCAATAAATGTAATGCTATGGAACATATTTTTCGAGAATGTCACTATGCTTCATGGATCAATGTACATACATTTCTGATAATTTGAAAAGAATCTATAAACTTTATGGGTAATTATGTAGTTTAGGGGAACCCCTTCCCCAATGACCTTGACATATGTTGTCAAGGTCTTGTTCCTGAATGGCCTTGAGAAAATTTTAACCGTCGGACATTATTCGTTAAAAAGCTATGAACAAAGTTTAAATTTTTGCAAATATATTCATTACAATTTATTATTTTTCCTTATTGTATAATCATGGACGTCGTGCGCTGAGGGAGAGGTGGAATAAGTTCGTGTGAAAAGTCGAAATCAACGTGCAACAATACAATCATTAAAGTCGTGCGACCCTTTGCTTACATAGCAGAAATGAGATGTTTGTAAAATTTTTTTGTTCATAACTTTTTAACGAGTAACGACGAGTCCGACGGTTAAAATTTCGTCAAGATCACGCAGGGTCATAACCAGGGATATATGTCAGTCATAGAGGGGGAGGGGAGGCTCTGTTAAACTACATATTTGCCACTTTGCATACAACTTACACAACAGATATATAAAATCTTCATAGATTACTTAGTTTGAGAAACTCATGATCTTTTTGTTAAAAAAAAAAGCTAACAATATGTGAAAGATACGAAAATTATATATTATACATTTAATTAATTGAAAAGAATTTTCTTCTATAATGCGACAATTAAAAAATCGCAATACATATCATGATGTTTAAATCAATTCATAAATATTGAATTCTAAGCTGATAAAATATACATTTTGTCACGACATAGTATAGATCAAGAAATAATAGCTTAGCAGAATTTCCATCGATTTCCACATTCATTACACAATACGAAAGTAGTCATCGGTTCGTCGGCTGAACGTGTTTGCACTTGGTTATACGTGCAGTTGCGCTTCTTGCATTTACCACATTTGAGCAAGTCGGTCTTGGTTCCCTGCACGGTGGCAAGTTGTGCGTCATTGATAGCCTCTTTCTTGAACTGTTCGCGTAATTGCTTAATTTCGTCGCTTGCCATTTCTTCTGCAGTCATTACCGCTAATCTAGCAGGCGTAATCGCACCTACCAAAAAGTTCGTCCGTAGATTAGGATTCTTCACATCGCGCAAATTGGCAACTCTGCTGCGAACCTATATTCAAATATATAAATGTATTTATAAATACATTAATACAATTTGGCATAATTATATACACTGCTGGCCATTAAATTGCAATACCAAAAAAGATGTGAAATGTTAAAATGACATTTACATGAAAAATTGTTTATGATATATGGAGTTTACAAGTACAACTTGGTATGTTTCTTAGAGAGAAGTATAGTTTATTTTCTTATTCTACTCTCCATTTTATAAATTTTAGTTCAATGAGTTTTTTCCATTACTGCAATTTATTTAGGCGGCAATGTACATAAGAAAAAAATTTTAAACAAAAGATTTGTAGGATTGTACATGTGAACACACATTAAGAAAGCCTTTAATGGTGAAAGCTGGATCTTAACTCTCAGTTACTGCACTTCAGTCAAGCTTACACACTGATAGATAAATAAGGAAAATATGTATGGTAAGTATAGGCAAGTCAGTAGCCAATTAAAAATTTTTGAATGTGGTTTTCGGACAAAATTGATAAAACTGTTATTTGAGTCATTTTTGTTTCAATATTTTTATAATATTCTAGTATGCATAACGCTTTTTACTTTAATATTTTTTAAATAAATTTTTTGTTGTATGTTATTCCATACATCATGACTTCATTGTGCTTAGAACAAAAATATCACCATGCAGATGATCCTAAAAATAATTCAATTTAATATGTGACAAAAGCAACATTTTTTTTTTCATAAAAGTACCTTTTTCCTTCAAAATAAGATGTAGAGCAAATCCTGATCTCTAACTTTTTACGCAAGCGTCCTAAACTTTTAGAGTACCAAAGTAAAAACAGTTTTGTACACAAAAAAAAGAATATGTTTAATTACTCTATTTTTGTATCTGTTGTCAGTGTTTTTAAATTCTGCATAGATTGCTTCTTCCAATTCTTCTGCTAACTCTTCTGGACTGGCACATCCATCAATAACTTTCCCATCAACACGTAAAGCTGTCGCCAATAGTTCTCTGCATTTTAATCTCACTGCATCTGTTGTGGTAGGAGCAGGGAAAGACGCCTGTTTCCTTTGAATGTCTTTGAAAGGTTTTTCTTCCTTAACTTTTACATCGACATCCATAATATCTTTCTCTTTCTTATGATCGCTCTCTTCCTTTGCTTTATCTGGTTTCTCATCCTTCTTTTTTGAACTACTTGACGATGTTGAGTCCTTCTCTTTATTTGATCCTATAATATCGAATAAATTACAATAGAATTAAATTATGCAAATAGTGTTATTAATGATCTCTATATAAAAATGTTATACTTAAATTTATATTATTATATACATACCAGATAAGAACTTTTTCCAGTTTTTAATAAGAGTCTTTGATAAAGAAATGACTTCTTCATCCCTACTTGATTTTCTCAACGCATTTACAGTCATTCCAATACGTGTTTTAGTCAAAAGCTCTAAGTCAACAGGTAATTTTTGAAGAATCTTAAGCAATTCCAAAGCCTGTTCTTGACCCTGATTGAAAGAAATATTAGATTTGTTTTTTATAACTAGTATACACTTAAAATAAAATAAAACAGATATTTATTTGAAATTTAACGAAAACAAAATAGAATATTTTAGTATCACCTAGGACTTATAATCTGTACATGTCTATTGACAGTTGCCAGTGTCGATAACTGACGATAGCAAGGTCTATTCCAGGAAAAAGCATTTATCAGCTGTCGCTACTAAACAATAGCGACAACTGTCGATAGACATACAGAATATGGATCTAGTATAGTGACAAAGGGTAGGTCTATTATACCTATTCTATGTATATTATTCAGTATTTTTGCGTAGTATAATTTCAATACTGACATCAACATTGCTACATGTTAAAATTTTTTTTTCAGAAATAATTATGGTAAACAAAAACAATCGTATAACAACGAAACTGTATATTTTAATCATTCGATCTAATTACAACAAAAATGCATTAGCAAAAATTGTCTTGCAATAAAAGTCCGAAAGAAAGGTAAACATTGGAAGATAAAAATTATACAATATAAGAATCGAATAAAAGACTTTTGAATACTTGATTTTAATGAGACAAGAAATAAATCGAATGAGTAACGGTCTAAACACAGGATTGCCATAACACATTTGAGACGGATTAGTTGTAGATGTAAACAATGCATAAGCTTTGGCATATGACATTGAAATTAATGGACATCGTTACATCTCTTAATAGTATGCACTTGCTATATAAGCAAAGGTAATCTGATCGTTTGCAAGTAAAAAAATAAATCTTGTTACTCGTCCTGAGTCTTAAACGTGTTACGGCAATCCTGTGCTCAGACCCTTAAGACGCGATGCGACAGTGATCCATGGATAAACAAAGCGGAGCCTTCACGACATTTGGCGATCATAAATCTGTTCTTTTCGGCTGAAGATTACACGCGGTTCATCATTTCTTCTCTTTCTCTCCACGTTGGGGAGAGAAAGGATGAGCCGTGCAAAAGGTTGAGGGTGAAAAGAACAGGCTTTACGTTTCACGGCTCCCGCGAGGTTCCGCGCGCGCCGAATTTGGGTGCTCGAAATTGTTGAGGAGAGAAAGCCGCGCTTTCCTAACGACTAAAGGACCCTTCTTAGCGCGCGCACATCTCAACCAGTATACTGCGATCATTATTTTACTCACTTATTACTCACCGTCCCGTCACCGCTCGACATTTTGTTGAGCTTCTTCTGGATACGCAACACTTCCTCCTCTGCGCTCATCGTCGGAGAACCACACGCGCGCACGGTGTTTGGCTGCCACGAAGGTGGTTGTAAACAGTAATGCGCGCGTAAATGCAAACACAATCCAACCACAATCTTACAAACGCCAAGCGCTTCACGGGACAGTGACACCACGGATTGTTGTTTAATCCAACGACTCCGCGACTCGAGGCGTCCCGCGCCCGAAGCTATGGCTGCCTCATGGCTTTCGCACACTGAACACGGAAACGCTTACCGCGCGATAAAATGTGACGCGGTGGCCAATAAGCTTGCAGCTCCTAAGATGTTCATTGGCTTATTGCCGCGCACTTGGCCGCGCGGCAAGAAGCGTTTCCGCGACCGATGTGCAGGAGCCATCGGTGTTGCCAACATTTTAAGCCCAAGGCGCAAAGATTCACTAATTGGATATCCGTCGCGTTTGGACAATTTCGGGAATAGGCAGGAGAGGAGCCTTTATCGAGAAAAAAGTCACTCCGATTCGGCAGTTTAAACATATATTTACTACTTATAATTCGTTTAAAAATTAGGAATTACCCTTGTAGATTAAACTAGGATAGTGCTATGCAAAACAAAGTAAATAAAAAGGAATTAAACTATTCACTTAGGATTGGAATTTAGGTTTTTAGTGCAGGCGCGACCGACTTCGCTAATGATTGAAGCTAATGGAGAAAATTTTCATTTTTCACTTTTCATCCTAGGGGAATAAGTTTCATGATCGATAACCCTGGCTTGAAATCACGCGCGCGCACTCTGACGTGCAAGCAGCGTATTATATTCAAATTGTATACACGAAGTTGCTTACGACCGTTAAAAGTCCAGTTGAAGTCAAGTCCAGTGCAGTTTAGTGACGATTAGTGACGACGTGAATTAACGTTAAACTTTGATTAACTTTTGATGTAGACATTTGTAATGAGTCGGATCGTCGCCGTTGGTCGCCGTTATGAGGTCTGTGTTCATTTCTGTTCTAAATTGTATCGAAACTTTCGTCAAATATCGTATATACACTTGTCTCACTTTAAGTTTCAAAAGTGTATACTAGTTTATCCACAGAAAACAGACCAATGAATAATGATTAAACGTATTCGACTATAATTACGCAATTCAAAAATAATCATGGAGTTGGGCAGAAATGAGAGATCTCGCTATGAGCGATATAAGACATTGGAGGCCAGTGAAAAGCCTTACAGTAAATCTAAATATTTCTGCGATCCGGATGAAAAGAAACTGGATACAAGCGTAAAACAAAAAGATAAGCTAGCACAGGAATTAGTGGCTGTAAGATCAGATTTAGCTGACATTAGGAGAAGTTTGGGTTTGTATCTATATAATTGTAGATAGATATCTATATTAATTTAGTTAAAGAGCTTTATATATATATATATTTTTTTTTCTTTTTCTTTTTTTTTTTCTACGTTATATAATTTTAGTCTTTGTAGCTGGTGCTCCAGAAACTGAAGCTCAGTCAAGCGCAGGATGTTCTTCATACTTAGAATATTCATTGCCTAAACATCTGCAGCCAGACAAATTTTCTAAAGAAAAAATGGAGTTTAAAACAAAGTTAGATGAGAAAGCGAAAGAAGTTCAAGAGAAGCAAAAGAATATACTTGAATTACAGGATCAGGTCAGGGGGAATCTCTGGCGTATTTCTCAAGTAGAATCTCAGGTAGAGGAGAAAACACGAAAATTAGAAGCTTCGAATAAGGAGAAGGACATATTTGAGAAAGAATTGATAAGTACAAGATCAGAACTAGCTGGTATTAAAAGGACGTTAGGTATGTAATTAATATAACAATTATAGCAATTGAATTCATGTATTGTCAAATTGATACAAACATTTGTGAAAAAAAGTATAAATTTTATAGCTTATGATTGTTTCACTTAAGGCTATGTTCAGATTCTCATCCGAGTACTATCTAGATATCATTCTATCCTTATTATTTACTGAATGTTAAACAAGGATGACATGATACTCGGGAAGTACTCGGGTGAGAATCTGAACATGTTTTAATATGAAAAATATTTTTATTGCTTGACAAAAACTTAAAATCTATTTGTTGAGATAGAATTAGAGCGACAAGAGAGGAGAGATTTAGAAACTCGAGCGCTTGGATTAATAAGAGATGCTAAACGGAAATGGGAAAATGCAGAAAAAGACAAAATTGCACATTTAAATAAGCATATTGAAGCACAAACTTCAAAAATTACAGACTTATGCACAAGTAATAATGAAATGAGTTCACGTTTACAAAGGACAGAAGGTGAACTGCAAACTGCAAATGCAGAATTGGATAAATTGCGTGTATTTCAAGTGGGTAACAATATTTAATGATGTAATAATATAAATTAATGCAACATAATATAATTATCTATTAAGTAATGTTATTAACTGCAAAATATAAATGCAAATTGAGGCTGATATATTAATATTGTTAATTCTTTATTAATAAATGTTTAGGCACAATATAAGGAATCCTTGGCAAAAACGCGTGAATTAAGTAGACAAAGTTTTCAAGGTGTAGAAATTAAGTTAGAGGAGATGGCTACACGCGCTCATAATCAATTGGCTGATTTACGAGCAAAATTAGACTTTGAAACAGCGAAGAACGTAGATCTCGAGACTAGATTACGAAACGAGCAGGATTCAAATCATTGTCGCGAATCAAGATTAAATGTCGCTTTAGAACTTGCTCAAAATGAATTAAAAGATTGTCAGGAACAGTTACGTACTATACAAGCCACGTTACCGGCGAGAGACACCGAGATTGAAATTTTGCGTAAACAACTGCAAGAGAGAGCGAGGCAGATAGATGATTTAAAGTCATCAGAGCAATTACTTACAACTATGCAAGAACAATTGGAAAGGATAAATCTTGAAAATGAGCAATTAAAACAACAATTGCAAGTAAGTCATCTAAATGTATAGGACCTACAGTTTAACGCCGAATCCGAACGGCGCTGATGATCATAGGTCTTTTTGATCACCAGATGGAGCCATTTTTTGGCTCATTAAACGCGAAAAATCGCGTTTTGGGCGCACGTGGGATTGAACTCGGGTCTACAGATCGCGAGTCAATCGCGCCGAGCGGTGAGCCACTCGACGCCACAGAAAAACTGACGTAGTAGCTTCAAACATTAAGAGAAAAATAACTGTTGAACAGCAAACTGTAGAACAAGCTCAGTTAAATTTATGGAAAAAAGAAAAATAATTAGCTAACTCAAACTATATTAAATAATAATTATCTAGTGGTACTTAGCTTTAATAGTCCGTTTTATTTATTATATTATATTTAAATTAATAGTGTATATTAATGCCTATAAAAGTCAACACAGTTCGTTTGTAATAATAAAGCTTTTATTGATAAATTTTGTTTTTTGATCCCAATTTCGGATCCTCAGCACATGAATATAGAATAAATTACGGTTGAGAGAGAAACGTTTACAAAATTTATCAATAAAAGTGTTAATATTACACAAACATCCTGTGTTGGCTCATATAAGCATTAATACACACCATTAGATTCAATCTATTGAGCCTAAGATTATCACATTTATTTTAATTATATGTATTTAAATTTGAATCCCCAATAATTTTGTTTTATAGGCTACCAAATCTGATCTAAATGAAACTATGATGAATTTGGAGCAAAGTGAAGCGCTTGCTGTAAATTTAGAGCAAGCAGCACAAGATAAGATTGCATTGCAAAAGAGATTACAAGACTCTGTGGAAAAAGAAAGTAAACAAAATTATACATAGAATTATTCTTTTATAGTTTTTATACTATTCTGTCATTTAATTATTATTTAATTGCAGAGGAACAATTACGCAAAGTGTGCAATTTAGAAGAATTGTTAAAACGCTTAGAAAATAGTGTTACAAAGTTAGAAACAGAAAATGCTGTTCTTAAACAACTAGACGAAGTACCAGCTGTAACTCGCAAAACAATTATTGAAGCCACTGATACAAAAGTATTTCATAAACAAGAAGAAGTAGAAAAACTGAAGCAGCAACTTCAAACGTTAAGGGAAGAAATAACAGTTGAAAAACAAACGGCAAAACAAGTTCAGTTGAATTTATGGAAGAAAGAAAAAGAGTTATCAGATGCTAACTTAGATAAACGTATAGCTGTAAGAGAAGCTAAGCGAGCTGAAGATAAAATAAAAACACTACAGGAAGAGAAACAAAAGTTACTAGAAAAATTAAATGGTAAAGTAAAAGAAGAAGAGGAAAATTCAAAGAAATTAATGAAAGAATTAAATATCATGAAGACATCACTGAATGATATTACAAAAGAGGCATCAAGGCATAAAATGCAAGCAGATTCAGCACAAAGAGTATATTTCTTATAAATATTTATTAATAATTATTAAAATTTTGTTAATTTTTTTATTGAAATTAAAATATAAGGAAAATCTACTTTTATTACATTTTTTTGTTATTTATTCTTAATTAATTTCTTATATTTCTTAGGCTTTAACCCAAGCTAATCATCAAATCGAAGAATTGCAAACTTCTAGTGCGTCGTTACGTAGAGAATTGGATGTGGCTCGTAAGCAAATGCGATCGAATCAAGAGCGTGTCGATTCTCTGAATGCCGAGAATAGGCGTTTGACACAGATAGTCGCTAGACATAATGAAGAGAAGACTGACCTCGAGTCTAAAATCGCAAAATTAGAACAGGATGTTAAAGGGTATGAAATAAATATTGAGTTGTTAAAGGAGACCTGTACAGTGTTAGAAGAGCAGTTGACGGACTACGAAAGATTAACAAGTGATCATGAAACACGCGAGAATATGCTGATTCAGGATAAAATGAAACTACAAAAAGACTTAGAAGCTGCCGAGACAAAAGTTCGCGAAGCACATATTACGCAGAACGAGGAAAAAACACGAAGAATAGTTGCCGAGCGTAACATTGAACAATTGGAATCTGAAACAAGTGATATAGAAAGCGAGAGAGACGGTCTTATCGTTCAAAGGGATCAGTATAAGAAACTTGTTCAGGAACTCACTATGCAAGTAGAAGAATCGAATACGAAGTGTGATGAATTGGAATGCGATCTCTCGGAAACGGGTCGTTCTTTAGAAGCTGTTAAAGAAGAGTTGAGAGTCGTGAAAGAAGAAAGCAGCGAATACTTGACGAGAGTGCACGAATTGAAGGAGCTAAATTTCGGGCTTATGGCTGATATGCAGAATAGCATAGATCAGTGTCAGGAACAGAGGTCAAGAATAGCACAGTTGGAAACCGTCATAGAAGAGATGAGACAATTCTATCAAAAGAAAGAGATAAAGTATGAAAGTGTTACACAGCAACAAACTAAGCTGATTGATTACTTGCAATTTCAATTGGAAGGAGGTGGTAAGAAAAAGAAAACGAAGATATGCGAAATACTTGGTATGAAACAGAAAGAGAACGTACCACCTATAGGTATGGGCATGCCCGTGGGTTATCGCGAATTGGAGAATCAGCTCGCTAAAGAACAAGCAAAGGTGAGGACATTGACAGATCAGCTATTAATCCAGAAAGCTCAGATTGCTTCCGCGCCTGTATCTGCACCTACGTCTCCAACGAAACCAGAATGCGAAGGCAAAAAGATGAAGGATATCACAGAAATTAGTACCTCCTTACTTAGGCAGTTATCTCCGCAAAGGATAGGACACAATATTCCACATAGATTTAATGTTGGATTGCCTATGCGTGCTGGAAAGTGCGCAGCATGTCCAGAGGCTGTACAGTTTGGAAAACGTGCCGCGACCTGCAGTGAGTGTCAAATCATGACGCACTTAGAATGCGCGGTATCTGTACCTGCCAATTGTGGCTTACCAAGTGGTTTACCTAAATACTATCATAAATCTCATAGGGATAGCGATGAAAGTTTATCATCAATCGGAGATAGCGTTCAGACTTTGGCGATAGATCAGCCGGATAAACCAGATACAGTAAAAAATTAAATTTATTATTCTTAATGTCATGACTTCCATAACACACACAATTTATATATTCATATGTATCTTTTGCAGGATCTACAAAGTACTCCTTGTAAAGAGAATGAAATTTCTATGGAAGGATGGGTAAAAGTTCCTAGTAAATCAAAATCTTGCTGGGAGAGAAAGTATTTGAAGTTGGAAGGACCGTGCCTGTGCCTCTACGAGCGTGAACCATGTGCGGGGATGGCACCAATCAGTCGTTTAAATTTAATAGAAAATGGCTTTAACGTTTCTGAAGTAGTGCAACATCCCGACGTATTGGATACAGCAAAATCTGACAGCCCTTTTATCTTTAGAATAGAGTCAAATTCTGCGACGACTTGTTGGCCTTCATCTAGATTGGACATCATGGCATTGAGTCAAGCTTATAAAAAGAAATGGCTTGAAACTTTAAAGACTGTTACTGTTCAAAATTCGTATCTTACATCAAAATGTAAAAAGTATCAAGTTATACTTAGATTAGAAAAACACCAGGTGAGTGATATGTTAAGATGATTGAATCAAATCATCACATATCAATTTTACAAAATCTGATACAAAATAGCGAAATTAAGAATTTTTCATTTTACAAATTAAATTCGACTCCTATAGTTATTAGTATTTTTTTATATAGAATTTCGTATTAGTTTCTCGTTTTCTAATTTTATATTAAAACTACTCCGTTTATTTCTCTAGTTGGATTTGAACTGTGTTGTGGATCTGGGTGCGGAAAATGTACTTTTGCTAGGTGCGAAAGAAGGCCTTTTTTCATATTATGCTTCGAAATCTCGAACGCTCACTACAATTCGCGGTGTCAAACAAGTACACCAGCTCTCTTTACATTCCCATTTGGATCTGGCTTTAATGATAGCCGGTGAATACAGGGAATTAGTGTACTGTAACTTGAGGCTACTGAAGAATAATGCGTTGGCCGCCGATTGTTCTAGACCAGCAATCAGTACAAAGACTGTACTATCTATCTCTGATAGTTGCCATCTTTATCAATTACAAGGAGATATACTATGCGCCGCAACCACATCTCATGTGATGTATGTAATTTTTATTGCACTTATGAACATAATACAGTATTGAAATATAATTCTATACTTAATATTTTATGTATTAATACAGATTATTGAAATGGAGAATCGGGGAAGATTTCGGGGAATTCGTCGGGCTTCGTGAATTTGATACACAGGAGCCTTGCAGTTGTGCCATATTTACTACAAATCGTCTTATTGTAGGATGTCACAAATTTTTACAGATTGATCTGCAAACTTACGTTGTAGATGGTAAGTACACATACAGAAAATTATATGTTACACATAATTTTTAAACTAGTAAGTGATTTCTCATGATACGAACAGTAAACTTATGATATTTTTATTTAAACAAAAAATACAATTCAGAAAAATAACATGAAACAATTAACATTTATTCACAGAATTCCCAGAAGAAGATAATAGCTCAATTAAAGCGGCAATATCGGGTGCAGCAAAACTTGGCATATTTCCTGTGTGTGTTCTGAATATCTCCAATATGTATAACACAGCGGAACTTCTATTGTGCTACAATGAGTTTGGTGTATTTGTAGACGAAAATGGTAGAAGGACACGCGCTGTTGATCCAGTGTGGAATCATTTGCCATTTGCTTTTGGTAAATATAATTTTACCTTTGGTAGATATTGTTTTTCTTATACCATATTAATGTCGCATATCAATTACATGGCTGATTACCTTATTTTAGCATTCTGCAAACCGTACTTATTTATTATTCATTTCTCGTCTGTCGAGATTGTGAAACTCGATACAGAAGCATATAGTTCTTCGGAAAGGAATCCTGAACGTATTTTAATCGAATTATCTAGTCCACGTTATTTAGGCACAGCTGGTTCAAAAGGAATTTATGTGGCCACTATTAATTCTTATCTCGAATTATTAAAAATAAATGGTTTTATCAATATGCTAACAATGAACGGCAGTCTAACAAGTCTCGATACAATGTATGTCTTCTCTTTATTTTAGAGAAAATCGATATATAAAAAACTGAAATATTTAAATATAACAGATTATTAATTATATAATTTTTTCAGAGGCCAAGAAGACGAGAGTAGCTCCGAATTTAGTTTTACATCAAGTTTAATGGAAGCTTTAGACGGACAAGAGAAAAAAGTGCACTTCGCTGGAGTGCATAAATACTAAAATATATATATGAGACATTTAATTTAATCTTGACATTACATCTTGGTTAAAAAGCTGTTCTACATATGTTTATAAACAGCAATTATTACGACAAAAATAACGTCTGGAACAGATTAGTTAAAAACAGGACAGTATTTATTTATAATATTATTACACTTTTTTAAATAAAACCCAAACGCTTCATTAAAACACATGCTATGTATAATATTTAATGAAGATCTCAAATACTTGCCATATTTCTAACTCTCTGATCGGTAAGTTTTTTTCTGTATATTTAATACTATTTTTTTTAATTTATAATAAATAAATTTGTTTATATAATATATTGTTAGATGCGTTTATTTATTTATAAATGTATTAATAACTTTATATAACAGAGAGAATGCATCAGATGGATTGTTAATGTTCTAATAAAAATTTATGTTGAATAAATCTAATGCATTGTAAACGATCAGAGGGTTAAAGGTCAAATCATACATAATGACTTTTTTTCGTATCAGGATTCTAAATTTTAACAATGTTCATAGGTAACATTAAGCTTTATTTTCCTAAAGTACAATCACTATAAATTTATAAGGATTATTTTTATCTATAAATAAGAATAGTAACTGTACTTATATGATTATATTATGTAAATTGATATTAATATGTGTAGCATAATACTATAATATATTTTTTTATATCAAAGTACAATTTTTGTATTTTTACAATTTAGTTTAAAACGGATGTGAAAACAATAAAGATATATCTTAATTACAGTATTGTATGATTTATGTCACATTTAAAAAAATAGTTACTCTTTGAAGTAATTTCATTCTCTTTCTTCTTTGTAGTAATTTTATTGAAACGAAATGCTATAGTTTTTTTTAGTAAAAACAAATTGTAAATAATCTGTAGCATGATATTGCAACACTGGTATAACGGTATGTATCAATGTAACTAATAGAGGATGATAACATATGTAATGTATTCTGATGTGATATCCGGCCACCCTTGACTTCTGTGTCCCTGCCATGCCGAATATTCATTATACGAGCAGCAAGAAAAAAACATTACAAAAGAGGTTTTATATTCGTAATATATATATATCGTTGAACAGTATGTCTTTTTATTTGGTCAAGTCTGCTTATATATATATATATATATATATATATTTCGTAGCTTCATAAATTATTATTTATACAGAATAAAGTTGAGATTAGTCTTGCAACTCGTTTCATAATTGCTTAATTAATTTTACATATAACTTATTGTCAGTTGCATAAGGGAAAAGAATTGAAACAGATCGTCTTAACAAGTATTATATTATAAATATTGTTTTTATTTTATTTTAAAAATTATATGTAAAAAATAATATAAATGCTAAACTTACATACATATTTATAACGGTTGAATAATATTTATTACCTCTGAATCTGGAAATTTTGATTATAGGTACAAATAAATTCTATCTTTCTTATTTAATGTTATTATATTTTGCATTGTGTATTAATAGAATTCGTCATAATTCAATCTGTATTCTTATATAATAATGAAGCATTCTTTTTTAAACTCTTACGATAAATATCTAAAAGGTCATGTTAAAAAAAAATCCTCAAAAATTTAGACCTTTTTATCTAATAATAATATATTACCATGAAAAGTAACTGATCTATTATTAATCTTTTAAATTTAAATTAACTAGTAGTTTTTTGAACATGGCTGGAGACGCTACTGCGTCTCTTGATACTTACAATACAGTAAGTTAAGTTTTCGAAAAAAAATGCTTTGATTTATTTCTCACGAGTAATGCAAATGTTTGAAGGAAGTTCAAAGTAATATGAAATTCATAGGAGGTAGGGATGTATTTCGTTATATAAAAACTCACTGTTTTCCGCTGTCTTGTCTTTCAGTTACGAGTCATCGTTCACAGAATCGATTGATAAACTTATTATATAAGCTGCCTGTAATAAAATAAATTATAAATTACTGTACAAGAATATAAAATAAGAAAATAATTGTAAATATATTTTATAATTGATGAATTAAGAAATGTCTCAATTGATAAGCAAAAATAATATTTTATTAATTTATTTTAGAAATATTGTTTCTTTCTTTGAATTAACGAAATTTGAAGATCTTGGGAACGATGCCTACAAAGAAATTATTTACGAAAGGTTACAAGATACCCGAACCAGGTGAAGAAATCGTTATTTCTGGTATTGCCGGTAGATTTCCAGAATCAAAAAATGTGGAGGAGCTCAAAAACAATTTGCTAAATAAAGTAGATATGGTTACGGATGACGATCGTCGATGGAAATTAGGTAATTAATAAATTAGCAGAAAATAGTATAATAATTTTGATGGCTATATATATACATATATATATATATAGGGTCTACAAGTTTGCTCCCGCCGTTTTTACAGGTATAAAACTATCTATATGAAAACGGCGGAAGCAAACTTGTAGACCCTATATATAAATAAATATATAAATAAAAGATAACATCCATATCATTAAAACTATCAGTTCTTGCACCGAATTAATAAATAAATGTATTGTTATGTATAATAATCATATACTAAATATCAATTTATTATACATACAAATATTTCCTTATAAATATTTTTCCGAAAAATCATATGAAATAATACGCTTACATATTGTGTGTGTGTGTGTGTGTGCGTGCGTGCGTGCGTGCGTGTGTATAGATTGTTCCATTTTAAATAATGACCTCAAATATCTCTCAAATAATTTTAGAGAAAAAGTTTAAAAAAAATTTTTATATAAAAAAATATAGTAGTTGCATTCTGCAAAATATTTAATCTTTTATAAACAACTACATATTTTTTTCACCAATCAATACATCTTATTATTATGTATAAAGCATGACTATCAAAAGTTTATGGATATTTTATGTTAATATATGTCAAAATAAAATATAAATTATTTAAAAACTATTGATTTTTCAATATTTCTACCTCAATACTTTCGTATGCAGAATAATTAGAGAATCATATTATATTATAAAAAATCATATAATTTTATTTAAAAATTGCGATAATCTATATGTAACTTTGAAAAGTTAATTTTTTCGCAAATTAATTTTACCATTATTTGCTCCCCTTCAAATTATACAACTTCTATTTAATAAATAAATATTTTTCTAAATACGTTGTTGAAGAAATGTTTAAGGTCATTATTAAAAATGGGACACTCCGTATAATTGCATAATGAAACATTGAATGACTTATTATGATTTTATTAATGTCAACAGATCATCCAGATATCCCTCAGCGTACAGGAAAGATTAACGATGTTGGCAAATTCGATGCACTGTTTTTTGGTGTTCACTTTAAACAGGCGCACACGATGGATCCGATGTGCAGAATCTTATTAGAGCATGCTTACGAAGCCATCATTGATGCGGGAGTTAATCCAAAGCAGTTACGTGGTTCACGAACTGGCGTTTTTGTGGGTGCATGTTTTTCTGAATCCGAGAAAACTTGGTTTTACGAAAAATTACAGGTAGGTCTTCATTACTATTAACACGCGACAGCTAAACGAGTCAGAAAACTGAAGATTTATTTTGTTAACTCAAATTTAGATATAGAAAGATTTTCTAATTTTAGATTTTCTATTTATGAAACGTTTAATTACACGTTCATTTCATTACTAAAAATAAAAAATAATAAAGTATAGAGAATATCACACGTATAAATTCAAATTTTCTACTTTTAATATTCTTGATTACGGTTAGGTAAATGGCTTTGGAATTACCGGATGCAGCAGAGCCATGTTAGCGAATAGAATTTCCTACTGGCTAGGAGCGACTGGGCCATCTTACACTTTAGATTCCGCTTGTAGCTCGAGCTTAATTGCGTTGGAACATGCTTATCGATCTTTGCAAGACGGTCAATGTGACGCTGCTCTTGTGGGTGGATCAAATCTGTGTCTTCATCCCTATGTATCGCTACAATTTTTTCGTCTTGGTATAATCCTCGTCTTCGATCATATTTTTTTTACATGAATCTCTATGAATATTGCGCAAGAAGTTAATAATATTTAAATTGAAATGAGACAATGCCACAGCAGTCTAAGCTGGATCATGGGTGCTTCTAAATATAAAACTTCTAAATAAAATTTCGGCGCGCAATCGAAAAATTACATATATAGTATATAAATTCACACGCAATTATTTAGAAACACCCGTGATCCAGCTTAGATTGCCGTGGCATTGTCTTATTCGGTTTGAATTTTAGCGGTCCAATAAGAATTCATAATAATATTCAATTCTATATAAAGTACAATAAGTTAGAGAGAAACGTAAAGTACATATATATAAGTGCTTTTATACGAATATTTTCTCAAGAGTCTCAATGCATGTACACACACGCGCGCGCGTGTATATATCAGAAGACATGGTAGTCTCGGTATAAAATACTGAGACTACCAAAAATTGAAGATATAATAGCTAGACTATTTTTTTATGTTTGTTTACATTATAATAATTATGATTACAGGGGTTTTGTCGCCTGATGGCCGCAGTAAATCATTTGATTCCGACGCGAACGGCTATGCTCGCAGCGAAACAATCTCAGTTATATATCTACAGAAAGCGAAGAATGCGAAACGAATTTACGCTACAGTAGTCTACGGTAAGACAAACTGTGATGGTTACAAGGAACAGGGCATCACGTTTCCGTCGAGCGCGATGCAAGCCACATTGCTGAAAGAATGCTACAAGGATTGCAATCTATCACCGAACGATGTGTTCTATATGGAATGTCATGGTACTGGCACGAAAGTCGGCGATCCTGAAGAACTTCACGCGATTGAGAAAGTCTTCTTCGAGAAAGACAGACCTACTCCTTTACTGATCGGTTCTGTTAAGTCAAATATGGGTCATGCCGAGCCCGCTAGTGGCCTATGTCAAGTTGCCAAGGTCTCTCCTTTTTTTTTTTTTTATAAAAAAAATATTGTGTTTATAATTTAGATCTGAAAACCTTATGAAATAAAAAAACTTAATTTTAAAATTAATTTTAAAACATTTTAATACATGTTTGATTTGATACAAAAATGCTTAATCCGAATTTTAAATGTGGTACTGTATGTCTTTTTGATCACTGAACACGATGCAATAATTCACTTAGCTCTACGATATACGCCTTAAGAAATACTGCCCGATTAATGTGAAAAAATGACCAAATTTCGAATTTAAAGTCGATTTTAGCAAGATTCGAAGTGTACAAATGGATTGTTATTCCCCTTAAAAAGGGGAAAGGGTAAAAGGGCGACTATATAGCTAGATTTATGCTATAGTAATTCATTAAATTCATTAAATCAACATATATTACAGGTAATAATAGCAATGGAAAGCGGAATGATTCCATCTAATTTGTATTACAACCGACCACGAGAAGGCTTGAAAGCTCTTGAAGATGGCAGGATCAAAGTCGTCACCGAATCAACATCTTGGGAAGGTGGTTACGCGGGTATTAATTCTTTTGGTTTTGGAGGTGCCAATTGTCATATCGTATTGAAATCTCATCCGAAAAAGAAAATTAACAATGGCGCACCATCTGATGATTTACCGAGACTCGTAACAGTATCTGGACGTACAGAGGACTCCGTTAAAGTATTCTTAGACGATGTAAGTAAAAATCAATGAAGAACCAAGATATTTGAGACAAAAAAAACAAGATTTCCTCGAAAAAGAAATTAACATAATGCCAAATGTTTGAGATATTCACCTTCGATTGGAGAAAATTACGTTTTTATTTTCGTAGATCGAAAGACATCCGGTAGATACTGAGTATATCCGTCTGCTGCATGACATTCATTTTGATGATATCCAAGGTCATCTGTATAGAGGATACACGGTAATTGGCTCTAAGGCGGACCATTCCATAAGGGAAGTAGAAAATTACTTAGGAACTGCGAGACCAATTTGGTTCGTGTTTTCCGGTATGGGATCACAGTGGCCTGGTATGGGTATGTATATAGTGTTAATTTCTTTCTAATTATATACATATTTTCTTAATAATTATATTTTCTTCTTTATGTTTATTCGATATATTTGTTAATTTCAGGTATCGATTTGATGAGATTCCCTGTTTTTGCCAAAGCTATTCAGAAATGTGATGCCGCCTTACGACCTCATGGTGTAGATATTATAAATATACTAACAAATAAAGATAAAACTATTTTCGATAATATTTTACATTCATTTGTGGGTATCGCGGCAGTACAGGTGAGTTGCATATACAATAACTATAATATTCGTATTATTTCTTTAATAATTATTATAAATTCTAATAAATTATATATTATCAGTGTTATTCACAGGCTCCGTACATTTTTTTAAAGACGTAATCTAGTTAATAAAATTATTACTTAATTAAAGTTATTATTAAAAGCGATATGGATATCTTTCGAATTATAATTACAATAATTTAAACTGTTTCATGCCAGTCTTACCATGAGCTTATGGTCTACCTAAGATTCATAAAACTGGATATCCGTTGAGAGTTATCGTTTCATCTGTTGAAAGTTCTCTTCACAATTTAGCATCTTTCTTACATAAGATCATCAACAAAAGTTTATCATCGACTGAAAGTTCTATAATTAACAGTTATTTTTTGACTAAAAGAATTTCTAAATTGACAATTTCTGACGAAGTCTCTCTTTTATCTTTAGTATCACTTTTTACCAATATACCAATAGATCTGGTTTTAGACGGAATATCGAAGAAGTGAAATATATAGAATAAAATACGGACATTTCTAAAACAGAATTTTTTAAAGCACTTAAATTTTAAATTCCAAATCCTTCATGTTTAATGACAAATTTTATAGATAAACCTTTGATGTACTGATTCACTACTATCCTCTATAGTTGCGGATATCGTGATGCAGGACTTAAAGTCAGTTTCTTTAAAAAAAACTTTCAATGAGACACCGGTGTTTTATATAAGATATGTTGATGACATTGCTTTAGCTGCAGACAGGGTTAATATTGATGAGATTCTGAATAAATTTAATTCTTACCATCCAAGGCTAAAATTCATATTGGAAATTGGTGGAGATTTATTAAACTTTATATCTTAATTTTAATTATTATTTTTATATTGAGGAGGACCTTAACCGTAGATCAAAACGTTTACGTTTTATTTTATTCCGAATAAATTGTATAAAAAGTACACACTGAGAACTAGCGTTGGCTCATATTGACAGTTTGTTTCTTTTAAAAAAATTTTTAATTAAGATTTTTTTAAACTTATAGAATCATTAAATTTAAAAGATTGCTTACTATTTTTTCGTATTTTGATATAATATAAATTTTATAGATTGGTCTAGTCGATCTTCTCACATCAATGGGCATTGTGCCGGATAATATTATTGGTCATTCTGTCGGAGAACTTGGTTGTGCTTACGCAGACGGATGTTTCACCGCCGAACAAATGATCTTGTCATCATACTCGAGGGGTTTAGCGTCTATAGAAACTGAAGTAATTTATGGTTCGATGGCGGCTGTAGGTCTTGGCTACGAGGACATCAAAGATATATGTCCACCTGACATCGAAGTGGCTTGTCATAATGCTTCAGATAGTAGTACTATTAGTGGACCTGCTGAATCTATGAAAAATTTTGTCGCCGAATTACAGGTTTGTTTAACGTATCATTTCTTATCAGAAATTTTCCTAAATTTAAGTGAGAGATTTCAACTACAATCCAAAATGATGTTAAAATAATTTTCAGCGTGTTAGTTACAACAAAACAATATATGCAAATATATAAATTTTAATTAATTGTTTATTGCCAAATTATAAATATTATCCAAATTGTTTTTCTTGTAATATTTCTCGTAATTAAATCTATGTATATATCTAATCAGGCTAAGCAAATCTTCGCGAAAGAAGTGCCGTGCAGCAACATACCCTATCACAGTCGTTATATTCAACCCGCCGGACCAAAACTTCTGGCTTATATGAACGAGATAATTCCTGAAGCGAAGCCACGCAGCAAAAAATGGGTGAGCACCTCTATACCACGCAACAAATGGTCCACCACAGCTGCCAAGTTGTCATCTGCCGAATACCATACAAACAATCTTCTGAATCCTGTATTGTTCGAAGAAACATCGCGTTTGATCCCGAAGGATGCGATAACCATTGAGATCGCGCCCCACAGTCTTTTACAAGCCATCCTGAGACGATCCCTTGGTTCGGGGGTCACAAATATCGGGCTTACCCAACGCGGTCACAGAGACAATGTCGACGTTTTTCTGCAAGGAATCGGCAGGCTCTATAACGCAGGACTGCAACCGGATATTGCGAAACTTTATCCGCCTGTTGAGTATCCAGTTAGTCGTGGTACTCCAATGATCGCACCTTCTATCAGGTAGACTTGCGGGATCTAAATATTTGATTGTCTAAAATTAAACAAAAAAAACTTTTTTGCTCAGTGCATCATAATTTAATCATTTATTACAATCTTTTATTAATTTTCATCTTTCATTATTATTCTTATAAAGTATTAATTAATAAAGAATATAAAGAAAAGTTGCACGGAAATTATTTTAGGAATCTCATTGTGCTTTGTTGAGAAACTAAGATAATAAATTATTTAATTTCCTTTAAGATGGGAACACACTGACGACTGGTACGTAACAGCATACAAAGTGCAAAAGAAGGTCACTTCCGGGGAGAGAACTGTTATTGTGTGTACATCAGAAGAGGACTATGAATATATGATCGGTCATGTTATTGATGGGAAGAATTTGATACCTCCCATAGGATACCTCGCTATGGTTTGGGAAACTATGGGTATATTACATGGGGAAATGTATACAGAGATATCAGTCGTTTTCGAAGATGTCAGCTTTGTGCGTGCTACCCATATTCCAAAAGAAGGCAGTATTCAGTTAACAGTAATGGTTCAAAAAGGTTATCTCATTATGTTTTTATTAATACAAAATACATGTGCTATTGTGATTAACAATTATTACCACTATATTGATATGTTTTTACATATATATAATTCAATTACATTTATAACAATTTATAATTCTAATACAAAGTCATTAATTGTGACAACAATCACGATTATTATTTATTTAGGATGTACAATATTTAGACATGTTTTAAATAATGCAATTGTCATGTAATTTGCAAATTTCAAGATTGATTTTTTTAAATTGCTCGAATTGTGTGAAATTATATTGAAATAGGATTTAATTATTTTAATTATTTTAATTTCTGACTCTGATTTGTGTTGATTTCTTTGTATGTTGTGCTAAATTTATTATATTATTTTAAATAATTAACTGTCTTTTGACTCTCCTCTGTTTTTATTATCAATTTTTCAAGTTCTTGTTTTTCTGATTTTTACATTTGAATTATTCACAATTTAAATTTAATGTTACTATAGTCCTGAGAGAAAATATATATATTTTTTCTCTAATTAATATTTTAATTAATTATAATAATTATTTCTATAGGTACTGGAAGATTCGAAGTATCGGAAGGTAACACTCCAGTTGTGACTGGATTGATTCGAGCCGTGAAGAATCCAGCGCAAGAAAAGGTACCTGCTACTCTTTTACCAGAAGAAGATGATGAGGAAGAAATAATGAATACTAAGGATATTTACAAAGAGCTAAGATTACGAGGTTATCAATATTCAGGCATATTCCGTTCCTTAAGAAGCGCATCTCTGTCAGGGAATAAGGGGCACATTGCTTGGATGGATAATTGGGTAACATTCATCGACAACATGCTACAAATAATGATTCTTGGAATGGATACGAGAGGTTTATATGTGCCTACGAAAATACGCAAGATCGTGATTGATATTAAGTTTCACCAGCAAGAAGTTCAAAATTTGGATCCAGAAAACAGACGTAATTCATTATTATTTTAAAATAAATAAAAATTATGATATATTCTTTACTACATATAACTTTTATACTTATAAGTTTAATATAATCATTATAATTATGCATAAAAAAGAAGTATCATCGAAAATTTCTCGTTTCAGAATTTCCCGTACGCGTGTACAAAGATTGGGAAACTATAATGTCAGGGGGAGTTGAAATCCGTGGTGTTAAGGCTACGGCCATACCTCGCCAGTTAAAAAACGACCCAGTTCTCGAAGAATATAAATTCGTAGCTCATCGCGATAGAGCACAAATATCCTTGAAGGAGATGATTAGATTGTCCACGCAGATTGCACTCGAATATCATCAAACTATTCATATAAAAACCATCGAGTTGATCGACGATTCCGATAAGGTGACGATGGATGAATTAGCATCACCCATGCTCACCGAGATTTTAGGTGAAATGCCTTTGGTTCAAGCGAAGGTGCATCTGTCAGCCCCATCTAATCGTTTTGATTATTTGTTATTCCCGAATGTTATCACTTCGGATATTAATAAAATATCTAAAGAAGATAATCTTATGCTTGCTATTGGTATCGGGCTGTTATCGAGAAATAAGAGCCTCCAATTAGAAGAAATTCTGTTGAAACTGAAAAACGGCGGTTTTGTATTGACACGAGAAAAATTCAAGCTCGAGAATCTTTCAACACTTTCAAAGCACGGTTTAGATGTGATTCTAGAAAAGAATATTGGCGAAGAGACTGTCGTACTTTTAAAAAAGAAAGAGCAGTTGGTCAGCAAAACCGAAGTCATCCATGTTAACAACAATCAATTCACCTGGCTCAAGAAGTTGAATTCATTTATGAATATTGAAAGCGAAACCAATGAGATGAGGATAATACTCGTCAGTGAGGCAGAATTAGAAAGTGGCTTGCTAGGCTTCGTGAACTGTTTGAGAAAGGAACCAGGTGGAGAAATGATTAGAAGTGTATTGATACAAGATACCGAAGCTCCTAAGTTTTCTCTACAAAACCGGTTTTATTCGGAACAGCTTCAGTTAGATCTGCCAATCAATGTATTGAAACCGAAAAAAGTATGGGGTTCTTACAGACATCAACCGTTGTCAAGTCCACAGCCAAAGTTTGTTCGTCATGCGTATGCTTATCAAATGGTATGTAAGAAAACATAATTATCAAACTAAATATACAAATAATAAGATTCAATAAAAATAAATAAACAAAAGAAGACTACAAGCCTAACGAAGTTGATGTTTAATAATCTATCTTAGATATATCTATATGTTAAATATACATACATACGTTTCGACTACGGTCATTCTCAATGTTAAAATTTACAATAAATCAATGGGAAATCGTGTGTTACATAAATCAAATCATGAGCCAATGAAAGAAAGCGTTTATCATTTCACACATATACCAGTTATTGCGAGGAATATTACTAAGGCCTCGGTAGTCTAATTGGTTAGGACACTTGCGCGTAAAGGTATCCGGGTTCGACTCCCGGCCGAGGTAATATTTTTCGCAATAAGAATAATTTTCCAGATTTAGTATTTTCAGATTATTAGAGTTGCGTTTCAAAAGACCGACGATTGTTCGGCGCGCAATTTTGGGGGGACTACGTATTAGTTAATTATTAATTTAATTTAATTCGTGATAGTACCGCGGTAATTTATATATAAGCGATTAAAAGATCCAAGCTAGACTATTATAGGCTTCGTATTTGTATTACTTAGTTAGATTATTAAACATCAACTTCGTTAGGCTCGTAGCTCTCTTTTGTTCATTATTTATAATTATAAAACATTCTGCATAGATGTGCGTAAACACGTACATTTATAATATATTATTATTCTTATTATTGATATTATTACTTTTATCCATGCAGTTATATAATGTAAATACTTTATATTTTTGTATAATATATATATATATATATATGTATAAATGTGTATGTGTGTGTGTGTGTGGGTGGAAAATAGGCACTTAGTGACTTAAGCTCACTTCGTTGGATCGAGGGCAGTATACGTCCTGATGCCAATAAAAAAAATCTAGTCCATGTGGCGTACTCGGCTCTCAACTTTAAAGATGTTATGTTAGCCACAGGAAAACTCGTTTTGGATACTAACATAATGCGTGATCGATTCGACGAGTACTCGATCGGTTTAGAGTATGCTGGTATCGATACCGCTGGTCGTCGCGTGATGGGTCTTTGCAGTGGGAGGTAATATTTCTATTAAATACAATTTGTATTAAGTACAATCCGGTATATACGATTTCATATTTACAAGTTATACATTGAAAAGTCAAAGCGGACTTAAGATCCCAATAATGGTACAATTTAAATTAATTGCAATTGCTAATTACAGAGCTGAACATTTCTCGCGCTCAAGCATGACGATATGACAAGTAGTGAAGGCTCTCTTAACATGCAATATTTTTCAAAAAGTCGTTCGAAAAATATTTGTACATTTTTCATTTTCAATTATATACACTTGTGCATAATTAATGTCGGAATAGTATATCATAAAATATCAATTTAATAGCAAGATATTACGATATGTTAAAATAGACATCCTGTATATATACACACACACATACGCGCGCGCGCGCACACACACACACACACACACATATAGGGTGTCTATTTACGTATATATGTATATATTATATTTCCTATATAAGAGGTATAACAAACATCATTGAACCGGACGAAAACTTGTGCTGGTATGTGCCTGACAATTGGTCGTTGGAGGACGCGGCTACTGTGCCATGCGTGTATGCAACATGCTATTTGGCGCTCTATCATCGTGCCGAGATGAAGAAAGGTGACAAGGTGCTCATTCATTCCGGTAGTGGTGGTATCGGTCAGGCGGCGATACATCTAGCTCTTCACGAAGGCTGTGAGGTGTTCACTACTGTTGGAACACCTGAAAAACGCAAATTTATTCGCGAGATGTTTCCATCAATTCCGGATGACCATATTTACAACTCGCGCAACACAACCTTCGAGCAGATAATACTTCAAAAAACTAATGGCGATGGAGTGGACATTGTTTTAAATTCATTAGCCGAGGAGAAGCTCCAAGCATCGGTTCGTTGTCTGGCAGTAGGTGGTCGTTTCCTCGAAATCGGCAAGTTTGATCTCGCTACAAATAATCCCTTGGGAATGATGATCTTCTTAAAAGAAGTCAGTTTCCATGGGGTTTTGATTGATAATTTGCTTTTCTCTGAACCGAAGGATAAAAAGACAGAAGAAGAAAAGAAGGAGCTACGTAACTTGTTAAATGAGGGCCTTAAAAATGGAGCGATTAAACCACTTGTTCGAAAAGTTTTTGAAAAGGACGAATTGGAAACGGCCTTCAGACATATGACGACCGGAAAACATATAGGGAAGGTAAAAAATAATAGGATATTATTTGATTTCGTCAAAATATGTCATTTTGATTTATAATATAATATATTACGTATATAGCCTTTTAGCGCCGAACAATTTTTCGGTCTTGAAATTCTTTAATATTTTTGTTCCAATTGATGTAATATATCAGCATTCGTAGCCTTCTCAAATTCTTCTGGAGATAAAAGAACCTTGTATAGACTGTTTTTGGTAGTATCTACAATTTCGTACGATGTCAATTTATACGAATTCATAATTTTTTTCTTTTTTTTATTTCTTATAGCACTTATCAGGAGACACGGTAGTGCCCCGGCGCTAAAAAAAGACCATGCGTATTTTGATTTCGCACAATACTGCTTTTACTGCCTGTGCCTCACCTCTTGGGATGGAGTAAAAATAGCCAGAAGTCAGTAATCTCCTAGGATCAATTTATGTAGGATAGTAACTTTCAGTAACTGACAGCACAAGAAATTCTATTTTGGAATGATAAAGCAGTGCTGTCAGTTACTGCTAGTAAATTTCGGAACGTACTCATAATATGAGCAACTAAATAATAATCATATGATACCAATTGCACCAATCTAAACATTCTGGACTTCCTAAACAATCAATGACCCATGATACCCCGTGACCCATGGAGCCCCGGTCTCCCCTACTTGACGGGAGATGCTACCGAGTCTCCTGATATTATTATAGTCACCTAAGTTTTCAAGTTTTAAAAGATCCTTTATTAAACTTATTGTTAAAGTAAAAATTTGCGAGAAACTAAAAAAAATTTAACATAGCCATGTTGTATGTCTTTTACAGATACTTTTGAAAATTTCCGACGAGAAGAAGGTTATTGAAAAGAAACCTATTCTTGCTGATGCACGATATTACTGCGACAGTAATAAAACTTATCTTATTCTGGGTGGATTGGGTGGTTTCGGATTGGAATTAGCCGACTGGTTGATACTCCGAGGCGCCAAAAACTTAGTGTTAACATCAAGAACGGGAATAAAGAACGGTTATCAACGTCTAAAAGTTGAGTTGTGGAAATCTTATGGCGTGAACGTGCTTATCATCACAGGAGTAGACGCTTCTAATCGTAAGGATTGTGAATTTATACTAAATTCTGCAGAGAAACAGGGTCCGGTCGACGCGATTTTCAATCTTGCCGTGGTGCTGAAGGATTACATCTGCAAGAACCAAACGCCGGAATCATTTGAAGAAACTTTCAGAGCGAAAGCTCGGGCCACGAAGATGCTGGATGAGTTATCTAGAAAATTGTGCCCGCAACTTCAGCAGTTCGTAGTTTTCTCTTCGGCTTCTTGCGGGAGGGGAAATGCTGGACAAACAAATTACGGTATGGCCAACTCTATAATGGAGAGAATTTGTGAGCATAGAGCAGCGAACGGTCTGCCGGGACTGGCTATTCAATGGGGCGCGATAGGAGAAGTTGGTCTTCTCGCTGATTGGCAGGATAATAACAAGGATCTCGTCACTGGCGGTACTTTGCAACAAACGGTATCTTCCTGTCTTGAAAAACTGGAGAACTTCTTGTTGCAGAACCATCCAGTAGTATCTTGCATGGTAGTGGCAGAGAAACGTGGAAGTGCTTATGAAGCTATCGACATTGTAGAGGTCGTGGCAAATATAATGAGTAAGATTGTTATTTTAAAATAGTTTTCTAGAACAGAATCAAAATGAGGAATCTGTAGATTATATGCAGATAAGGATATTCATTCTATTTTTAAACTAAAACAGTTTGAGTATATTGGTCGAATCAATATTTTTAGAGATCACATATTTTATAATTTTTTATATTATTTCCTAACTAAGCATAATGTCTGTTAAGCTAGTACCCCCTCCCCCACAAAAAATCAAAACGGCACCTATGCCAGAATTAAGTGCTAATTATGTGCTCTAATGTTAATTTTTGTGCTCGAACGATTTAGCAGAAAATTGCGATTAAAGGTGAGGATGCTGGCAAAAATTTGTTAAATCGTTAGTCAATTAACTCGTGATATCACTGAGATAGTTTAGAGCTTGCATTTCAAATCTGAAAAGAATTCGACGCGCTATTAAAAAATCTACATACGTAGTATGTAAATTCACACGCAATTATATAGAAGCACTCAATATTTAGCTTGATTGTTACAGCCTGTTCCCATCGGTTTTTTATTGGTCAAAAACTACAGGTCACCACTCGGTATAATCAAGTTTAATCTCTTGATACTTTTACAGATATAAATGATTCGAAGACTGTGGCTCAGTACATATCATTAACCGAACTTGGCATGAACTCATTGATGGCCGTAGAGATTAAACGAATACTAGAATGTGAGTATGATATCTTTCTCACCGCGCAAGACATGCGCAATCTAAACTTCGCCAAATTGGTGGAGATGCGTGATAAGGATTTGGAACGACAGAAAGCACAGAATCAAGAGACCGACGAGCAAACAGTCGAGCTAACTGGTATACAACTGTTGCTTCAAATTTTGTACGACGAAAATTTGCCTACTAAGGCCTGTTTGGAATTACAAACTAAAATGGATCCGCGTAAAATAAAAGTATTTCTCTTGCCGAGTATACAGGGTTGCGGACAGATATTTAATCCACTAGCGTCAAAAATCAGACCTTCCGCAGCGGCTTTGCAATATGGAATAACGAATACCATGTCTATACCAGAATACGCCGATCATCTTTTACCAGTACGTATACGCGGAAGAATGTAAATGATAAATAAAAAATAAGATATTCATTCAATATTTCTTTTAACAAATGCTCTCCGAAAGATATTTGCTCATGCAGACTGACACGTTTCATTGGAATTTTCAGTATGTCTTGCCAAAAGCGGAAGAGCAAAGAGGTTTCGCCATAGTCGGCTATTCGTATGGTTCGTTAATTGCCCTCGAATTAGTGAAACGATTAGAAAAACATGGTTTAAGCGGTCGACTAGTGTTGATTGACGGTGCTCCTGAATTATTAAAAACGATGTTAGAGCAATTCCTTCCAGCTACTACAGAAGAAGAACTTCAAAATAATGTCCTGCTTTCTATCATGGATAGTATACAATCAGTTTCAAACGGAAAGGTAGATTTTAGTAACGGTTATTAAGATATTATTTAATCATCACGACCTTCTTGTTATCAATATCCTGTTTATTTTATTTTTTTGCAGTTACTTTTAGATCTTGAGAAATGTACAACCTGGGAAGAAAAATTAAATGTTTTCTTTTCACACATTTCCGACAAAATGTCGATTACCGAAACTAGGAAAGCATTGTATACAACTATTTATATGAACATCCTCGCTCTCCGAAAATACGACTGGTCATCTTTGGAATGGATACGATCGCCTGTAACACTTCTGAAACCCACGAAACCATTTGTCAATATGACCGAAGAAGATTATGGCTTACACAAGGTAATATGTCCTTGTGTACTTTTTATAAACTTCGGTTTTAAATAATAGCGGATTATATACGAGGCGCATGCCTCAGTACTCGTTATCGAGTTAGTTATAGAAGTCATGCGACCCTTGGCTTAAATAGCAAAAATGAACCATTATTTCTTAAACCTTTTTTGTTCATAACTTTTTAACGAGTGAGGTCCGACGGTTAAGATTTCCTCAAGATCATTCAGGGTTATGATCTTAACAACATATGTCAAGATCCAGGTCATTAGGGGAGGCCTCCCCTAAGCTTCATATTTACCTTAATTTCCCATAATCGATACCTAATAACAGCAATAAAACTTTTCAGATCACGCGAGACAAGGTGAATGTACATTACGTTGAAGGCAACCATGCAACGATATTAGATAGTGACAAGATCATAGCTGCAATCAATGGAGAACCGTTGCAAGATCCTAAAGAATTTAGAAAACTTTTAACGGAAGATAGACCGTTCGAATCCGAAGAGACAGAACGTACAAGAGTCTGAATTACAGCTTAAAAGGCTGTAATGTGTTTAATTTAAAAGAAAAAAAAATATGTATGTACTTTTTACCAAGTTTAAGTTATAAATACAATTTGGATTTGCCAATAGTTGGATATTCAAATAATTTATTGAATTAACTATTATTTACATTCAGAATTATTTTAATCATTAATTTAAAATATCTACAGCCGATTCTACACAAATTTGTAAATTTAGATTTATTTCCTCTTTCTTCATCCCTTATTTTAAGAAATAGAAAACTGATTACAAAATTAATACGCAAAACTTGATTGAAGTTATATATTACAATAAAAATGTAATTAAAATAGAAAAAAAATTTTCTTTTATTTTCCAGATATTCCAATTTCGTTAAAGTAACTTGAATTTATTTAATTATATCTATTTAGCTAGTTTAAAAAAAAATGTTTTCTACGATGAAAAAGATATCATTATAACAAAAAAAAATTTTTTTTAAATATATTTTAATTTTTTATGAAATATTATATATAATAAAGATGCATCAAATTTCAAAATTTTTTATAAAATTTGCAAAGTTCCACAGCGTTAAAAATTGAGCACAAATGCGGTTTACAGCTTTCGAAAGAGTGAATCTTTACCTTTAATTTGCTTTTTTTTCAATCTCTGTACGATACTTTTTTTTTAATTAATCAACGTTGAAGCAAAAGAGGTCATTTTTACTTCATATTGAATAACTCGGTGAAAAAGATTAAAATTCCGATGCGATTTTATTATCATAATCGTACTTTAATACAAAACTAATGCATACATATATCATTCTATACTAATCATTCATAATAAACGCTCGTTGTATGTTATAATTTATATTATCTCTTTATACATAATCATTATCTTTCATTCACTCAATTCTATATGCAAAATACAAACTGAAAAAATTGTTAGTGATATTTAATTAATTTCCTCTATTTTATTTATTCGAAATCATCGCTTTTTCTTAAATTAAAATTCTTTTCTTGCATTGTTCTCCTATTACTAACATTTGCTGTGTGTAATAAAAGTTAATGTATGGTTATAAAAGACAAAATGTAAAGACATCCTTATTTTCTGCTTGTGCTACTAGATAAAGATAGAAAAAATTTCAAATAAAAAAATGCTCTGACTCATTATATATGTATCTCTTCATAATAATATTGTTTTTCATATATTAATTACATGTTATATATAAGAAAATTATAACAAAATAATATACAATAAAGAATATATATAATGAAAGAGATATATGCTCCGTATTGAAAACTCCTGAAAAGTACATAACAAAAATTAATGTGTCATTTTCTTGCTTCTGACATCACAATTCAATATGTGGTGACTAGAAGCAAAATTATGATATGTGAAATCCATGATTATTGAATAAAAATAATATATTAATTGTGTTTCAAACTCACACAGATACAGCATCACTCAAATGATTATTATAGGAGAAACAGCAAAACATTATTTTATCCCTTATTCTTCTAATTTACACTGCTGGAAATTGAAATCCCAACACCATGAAAGAGTGCTAGATCAATGAAAGTTACACAGAATGTTTATTTATAAGTTATTATATTGATATCTAATACATGCACGCAAGAGGTCACAATTTGCAGGATACGATTGTAGCATTACGACGAATGCGGAATAAAATTTTCCATTAGACACGTGTGGAGCTATTCATAAGCGTTAATATCACTGTGAAAGACTGTGATATCGTGTGATAAAATTATGTAGAATGCCTCGAAGGTGACAACAAACTGGATATCGACAATTAACCCATTTTGAACGAGGCCGTATGATAGGCCTTTGGGAGGATGGATTATCATTTCTTGATATCGCGGTAAGAATGGATCGAGACGTCTCTACCATGTACAGTTGTTGGTAGCAATTCCGTCCTCGGAAGGCATTGCTATCAGGAGACCGGGGTTTGGAGCCTTCCGATCAACTGAATTCATTTAGCACAACTACTTGGGCTTTCAATTTCCAGCAGTGTAGTTTACTTGTAGATCAGATTATTGAAACCTTTTTCCAAATCGGAGTATAATATTTATACTTTTTTATTTTCAATGTACGTAGAGATAAAATATACAGTACTAACCAAAGATTCTCATAACTCCATTGGTTCGAATGCTGATCTGGCACTGGATAATATATTATTTAGATCAGGAATAGTAACATTATTGTTATTATTATTGTCGTCGGATGTATTCGGGATTGGCGTTGGAGTATCTCTCGTTGGCAGGATACGAAGATGTCTATTTGGTGGTTCCCAAAGAACTAGAGCCATAGAAGGCCTCTCTCTACAAGAGAAGAAAATAAACAAGGTTTAGAAAACACAGTACATTTTTCTTTTCAGTTCTCTCTCTTTCTCTCTCGCTCTCATTCTTTTTTAAAAAGCATTTTTATTAAATCATATATAACCAGTATACTTACAATTTAGATATAAGAGTTGATGGCAAAATAGGCTCCTCTTGCATTCGCTTGAGTTCCTCTGAAAGCACTAATCTTGGATGTAGCTCGCTCGTTTGTTCAGTATTTAATGTATCTGTCACATCAACATTCAAATCAATATTTAATGACTTATAACAGGAAGATGACGTTTGAACAGTGGAAGTTGATGGCACTGGATTCTTGAATTCATAATTAGGACTAATGTGCAGACCTTTGAAATGTGCAGCTATTTTTTCTTCCGTTATAAACTGCTTTGTATGACACCTATATGAAAAACAACATGTTATCAAGCTATAGAATTAATTGGTAGACATAAAGAGCATTACACTCACGTATCTACAACATCTGATGTTTCTAATTTTCTTTTCTGATGAAGTATTGGCCCAGAGCTGGTCTCTCCAGTGAACCTAACTAATTCTGATTGATGCAATCCAGGTACACTCCAGGGAATACTTATTGGTGGTACTTGCGGCGTTTGCATCCATGGCTCAATCTGCTGTAGGTTCTGTTGCTGCTGTAGATTCTGTTGGTTCATCATCTGTTGTAAGATGGACTGTGGCGTATATAAGTGCGTTCCACCCATAGTATTCTGAGAAATAAACATGCAAATAAAAAAAGTGTTGCACAGAATATAAAATTTCTTTTAGAATATCATCTTACATAACAAATTTAGTTATTTGCATGTTTTTTAAGGCTATTTTTCAAAAATTCAAAGTTGTCAAATGTAACAGCCCTAATGTGAACTATTCTACAATGATACATATTAAAGTTACTATATATGAAATTAAGTTAATGACAAAATATTTATAAAATATCCTATCGTAGTATATTTAACAATATAAATATTATTCTAGGCTCAAATTAAATCAATAAAATACAAATGTCTTTCTTGAGTCTACAGGATAGTAATGAGTACATAATTTCATATTTTTTCCTATCATTTTTTAGTGAAACCGACTACTTACGCTTTTACACACATATATTTTTATATAAAGTATCCTTTGTAATATTAAAATAAATTCAATATATATTGTTAAAATAAATTATAAAATCAATATATTACCATCACGTCAAATTTGCCAAAGTAAAGTAAAATCACTTACGTAAATCAATGGAAGCATATTATGTCATGACAAGACTTTGGAGCTGTTTTTTTTTCTAATAGCTAAACTAGTGTACACAACTTATGAAACCTAAAGTAAGATATAAAAGGTGTATGTATAACATTTAACTAAAGCAAGAAAGAGAACTGCACTAGTACAGTAGTAGCAGGAATAAAAAGCAGCCTTATGTTTCCAAGATCAAATGGTACTTTAGAGTATAGCAGAGAGCATAAACACGTATTGTATAGAATTCACAGAATTTACTGGACTGTTTAATGACTGAAAATATTAATAATTGTTCACTGTTTATTCAAGTACTATTTCACTTACTGTCATTTAAAATGTACTAAGCTGTGTGTTCAGAGACGAATTTTGTGAATCCAGGATATCGTCCGCGGCCACCTGATGGGATGCTTTGCGTGCGCCCTCGCGCGCGTGATGTCTGTTCTCTATTTATAGAACTACAAGGTAAATAAACATTATATTCAACGATGATGGGTCCCTTTGTTGGTTAGACGCTAACCTATACGTCTCAAATCACAAGCGAGAGTCACGTCAGTGTCGGTCAGTGTATCGTAATACCGATTATACGATTTAACGATGCGTTTGTTGTCTTTGTTATCGCCACGTCATACGAGAGACTTCAAAACTCCGAAAATTAGTAATATTTCACAATGAATCTCCAATACTGATCTATTTCCTTTGACATACCCCTTCTTATTTTTCTTCTTTACTAATTACTCATGGCTCTCGCCTTTAAAAGGCCGCAGCACAGACTCTTGCATATGTAAAAGTTCAGCCCGTTCCACAATAGATCGGGAGCTGTTGTTGGATGTCGTGCCGTAAGAAATTAGCCAATCTCTCTCTCTCATGGTGGATTGTTTTCAACTGTGATTGGCCAATTTCTTACGGCACGACATACGACAACGACTCTTGACTTAGGGCTGCGCAGAATTAAAAGGAACAGAGAATAAGAATATCAACCTATCAAAAACTGTGCATTTCAAAGTACACGGAATCTGATAGATTGAAATTATTATTCTCTATCCTCATTCCAATATGATTGAAGAAACTCTTAGGAAAGATTTTATATGCATTATTATATTTATATGCATAGACAGTGTTCACAAATAAACATATTAATTCACTAGAAATTTATAATTCAATGTATAAAAGAAACAAAGTATATAGAAGAGCAAAGAACCAGTAACACAATTAAGAAATTTAAATTTAAATGATAAAAATCATGTGAATAATAAAAGTTTAATATAAATAACACAAAGAAATTTAATATAAATAATTGACTCCGATCGGGTCATTAATTCTCAATGTTACAGTAAACATATAATACAAAATTCGTTATAGAAGTTATACTTCTACATTGAATCTATAGAATTCATCATAAACATTGTTTCCGCAATGATTAAAATTCATTATTCAAAATTTCGCATGCTTCATCTTGTATAATATATTAATAAATCAGAAGTAATCTAGACAGAGACCGTACAGACAAAAGAGATTTTTTTATGTACTTAAGTGAGCAAAAGTTAACAAAATGTCTAACTGTAATCGTGTACATACCTCGTCAGTTATATAAAAGCTTCATGTCAGTTTGATAATTTTATTTACACGATTATACATCTTGCTAACTCTTGCTCACTTATTAGTATACTATAAAAAATACGGTCTCTATTTAGACTACTTCTAATTTAATAACATATTATACGTGTAATTTATATTGATATATTAATTTATATTAATCATGTAATTTACCTTCGGGAATATATATATATATATATATATATAAAAAAAATTGTTATTGGTAACAGGTATAATATACGACACATGATACCTAGAACAGTCGCGAACGTCAAAGCGAACATCAAAAAAACTTTTCTTTAACAAATTATAAATATATTACTCTTTTTGTTCTTACTCAATTACTATTAGTAAATCTAATAATTTGATGATTACAAAATTCGACTTGAATTTGGACACTACCACCACGTTATTATATTTTGTACGCGCTATTATTATATACGAACTTTTATATTTAATCTTTTTGAAAAGGACCCAAATGAGGGTCGAAACGTATACGTTTTATTATTTATCTTGAATAAATTTTATATATATAAAAAAAATACACACTTATAACTTTTTTGTATCGGCTCACTTATAACTTGTATTGGCATTTTATTATATTGTTTTGGATTCTTCTGAAAATGTTTAATGAAATATCTGTAATTATTTCAAATATGTTTAGGATACAGGAGAAATAAGATTTATACACAGAAAATGTAAGAGAAAGGCATTCAACACAAAAATGAACGTGGCAAGAGTATACTGTATTTTGTCCTTTCAATCATTACCATTACGAACCGTTAATTACAAATTCAAACTCTGATTGTGATTCTTCCTGGGAGTCTGTAAGTGTATATAATTCTGTATGTGTATTTGTGTATGTGTGCAAATTGCATGTGGATATGTAAGTTTCTCTTTTATGAAATTACATTTATTATCGTCTATTCAGCATTCCTTAGCAATACCATTAACGCCATCGTTATTGATATTATCATTAATAATTACTTTGATACAATATAAGGTGCTACATGCGGTAGTAAATATATAGTAATGTATATAACTTTATTATAATTTTAAATACACGAGCATAATAAATTCAGCATTTAAGGCAATTATTAAATTATTTCGTTGTTTAATTTTGTAATTGCTCTATGATTTCGTAGGTTTACAAGACGCTCTATAAAATCGAACGTACGTTCCACACATCAATAAAAATACGTTTTTAAATAACGAGGAGTGAGTTTGCCACTATATTTTGCAAACTCTAGTATATATTTATAAATATATATACGTATATATGTATAAAACATATATAGACTATATACATATATATACAAAGTGTTTTACACTACCGCACTTTTTTTCTTAAGGACGTATTTTGAGATAATTTTATGACGAGAATCTTAATACAAAAATGTCGAAGCTCTAATCATTTTTTTTAATTTATCGCAATTAAATTTTCGCTAATCACAGAGCTGGACATTTCGCGCGCTCAGGCATGACGATACGACAAGTGGTGAATGTACCACGACGGCCCCCTTAAACATACAATATTTTTCAGAAAGTTGTTCTAAGCGAATTGCTGTCTTGGTGTCTCTCATCCTAATATTTTCCACGAATCTTCCTATACAAGCTAAAACAAACTTTTGTTTTTCCACAAGACCCTGCCCCTTAGATCGAGTTAGCTGACCCTCATGCGAGCGAGTCTCTTGGGGTTTCGCGTATTTTGATGTCGCGTGTGTGATTTTGAGTGTTCGCGAGATCGACTCTCTCTCTCCGTTCCGTCTCCGCGATCCCTGTTATTTCATCTTGCAACGCGCGCGAATAACGTCGCAAGAGAATTAATTTGGCACGCACGCACGCACATACACATATTTATACTTATAGACACGTAAATATAATCGTTAGGATGCGTATATACAAAAATATGTACAAGTTATATTTGCATTTTATTCTTTCGTTATCACCCTCCTTTCATTTCTAACGGCCAACCTGTACATCTTGGTTTCTTGATATGCATATACATAATATGGCATCCGTTATCTTAAAGATATCTCTTTGTCAAGCTATCAACGATCTGAATTAAAACCTTTCCATTTCCCATATTAACACTAAAATGATCAAGTTTGTTTTGAATGCAAACGAGAAAGAATTCTACAATTTTTTAATTAAAATTTTCAAGTTAAGAAATTTGTATGTATATAGGACGATGTCAAACAGTTTTCTTTTATCTATACTGTGCATTATAAATTTTATTGGTCTTTTTAATTATCGAAATTTTTACCATTTAAAACAATCGCAAAGATGGTCGTTCTAGCTTTAAAAGCGATGCGGCAACATCCAGAAATTTCTCTTTTCCGCAATATTTTTGTTACATTTAATTAACGTTTTATATATATATATTTTTATTATATATTTTATATATATTTTTATCGATGAAATCGATGAAACATTTTGTTTAAAGTAACACAATTTGCATATTCTAAAATTCATCATCTATTACGATAAACTTTTATTTACATTTTCAAATATAAAATTGACATTATAAAATAATTTACACAACATAAATGTCTGTGTGTCTAAAAAAAAAAATGATTTTCTATACAATTTTATTAGATTGAAAATGTAGGTATTCACTCTTGAATGTAGATATTTACCTTGAACCTTAAAAAAAAAACAGTTGTGATTGATTTGAATCATCACAATATCATTTATTTGCGGAAATGAGTATTTTTTATTGTCACGCTTCTGTCTGAATACTCATATGTATCCACGGTGTGATAACATGAGTAACGACGTGAGAGTGTTGTCTGGTAAATCGTGATACAACTATCGAGGTTACACACAGATAACTATAGTTTAATCATCTTTCGCCAGTATCAGTATGGCAAATATATATATATTTATGATATATATATATATATATTACATAAAAAAACTATGCAATCTAATGAAAAGTTATCTTTCTTGTTTATTGTAAAACACACAAGAATCATCTCTCGTCAATTGTATTACGATACCCTGTATATATGTAGTTGCAACGCTTTTTTTTGCGCGACTAATTCAACAATAAGGCACATTATTGCACAATCTACTGGTGGAGGAGTATTTGCGCAGTTTGAGACAGATACAAAGATTATGATATCGTTCTATACAGGGTGCGTCAGGTATTTGAGGACACTCACACATGTGCCAAATTTTCGCAGCAAGTTTTTTTCTTTTATCATAAATGGAGGACAATAAGCTGACTCAGGAAATGAAAATACACGCGAATCACAGTGATCTTGAAATCTTCCAATTTTTGAAAATCGCTCGATCGTTTGTTCACAAAGTTTGTCGAGAGTTAGAAGCATCTGACGACAATGTGGAAAGTGTTGCCAAAAAACACGAGGCACGTTCAGACAGAGTTAGAACATCACGGTTTGTGCAGCAAGTCCAGGGTATTATTGATGACGATCCTTTAAAATCCATAAGGGCCATACCGAGAGACCTTCAAGTTTCTGAGTGCATAATCAGTCGCAATGTCAACGAAGACATCCGGCACAATTCCTACGTGATGCGCGAAGGTCAGTTTATGTCGGCACAAACTCGAGAACAGCGATTCATCCGGGCACAACGACTTTTAAACAAGTCAAAACATCCTGAAATCCCGGATATGCTCTGGTTTTATTCTGACGAAAAAAATGTTGACCAGGATCGAAAAATAAACCGACGAAATGATAGGTGGGCTATGTGCGGATCCTTCATATGTTCCTCATGTTATGCACACAAAGTTTCCGGCAACTGTCATGGTTTTGGAAGTGGTGAGCAATGAAGGACACGTCATGCCACTCCAGTTCTTTTCTCAAGGACTTCGGATGAATGCTGCTGTCTACATTGAGGTTTTGGAAGCAGTTGTGAAACCCTGGATAGATAGCGTGTGTGATGACAGGCCATACGTATTCCAACAGGACTCTGCTCCTTCACACAAAGCCATGACGACACAAGATTCGATGTCCCAGAATCTGCATGATCACATAACTCCAAACATGTGGCCACCTAGCTCCCCGGATTTTAATCTTTTGGATTACTATGTATGGGGCGTTGTTGAACGGGAGACCAATAAACATCCCTATAACACGCTTGATTCCCTAAGAGCGGCTATTACCAGAGTAATGACGCGTATGGACGAGGATTATTTGATTCGGGCATGCAAACAGAGAATTGAAGCTGTTATTGCCGCTGAAGGCGACTTTATCGAATAACTGTATAGCCTTCGCTTAGTTTTTTTACTGTAAAAATTTTATTAAAATACAATAAGTTTTCTAAGAACAATTCTTAATACAAATTTTAGTTAAATTCAATATGTCCTCAAATACCTGACGCATTCTGTACATACAAATCGCCAAAAATGACATCACGATCTCTTGCTGTTCACTCTGTTTTTCCAATTTCCTGGCACTTAACTACAATCTTCTGAAATCCCGAACGATGATCAATGAAGGCCTACGTTCGTTCGAGAATATTTAGGAAAAGTCTGTTCTATACAAATTTGCCAAAAAGAGCGATTATTGATCATAATTTGGAAAATTCGATAGCTAAGACTAAAAAAATAAAAATAAGATTGTAGCAGATTAATTTGCTATGGAAAATTAACGAGTAAAATTTGTGCGAGTATTTTGTTTAATGAAATTGTAATTTAAAAAAAAGAGATGCAAAATCTGGGCATATAGCGAAGAATTTTATTAGAGATTTTATTATATTTAAAAGTTACGAATCGTTAAAATTGATATGCACGAGGAACACTTGGACATACGTTTTCGCTGGATGCGTAATCCAGAAATTCAGAAATAGGAAACCAAACACGTTGTAAAACAGCAACACCGAAGTCGGAGCAAAATTCGCTAGCCAACCTGGGCGCATCCTTTTCTCGTTAGACTTCCAAGTCGCAGACCAGCTGCTCGGTGGGTCATGTGCTCCGACGCACAGAGGGAACGAATGACGCGACACGCGAGTGTCGCGATCGCGATTCCGCAACGTAGACTCAGACGAATCGGATTAAACAATTAAATAACCTATCGTAAAGAGTATCGTTTAAATAATTTACATTTCTGTATATATACACACAATCATGCTCGCGTTCGCGTGTAATTCTCGTTGCTGCGTTCATTGAAGGGTTGCTTCTGACACCCAGTATTGGCACATGCACCGTTATCACTGGTCATTAGTTACATCATCGACTACGACAATTTTGACGACAATATTTTATGCATTTTATTCTTTCGAGTTTTTTTTGAGATACGCGAGTTTTACAATCTCCGTATGGCATCTGGGATTCAGAATTAGGAGACAGTGGCTTCGCGCGATCACTATTTCTCTTTCTCTTTCGTCTTTTCCTGTGTCCTGCTTGTTATTTCAAATTCGAAGGAAAACAGATCTATGAACGCGGAATTGCAGCTCCATCGCGCGATAACTTGGTGATAAAACTGGAACATGCGCGATTTTCCAATCTTCATACTTCCACACCGAGGACCCGATCAACGACATATTCATACCTTTTCGGCTCTCCATTGCCATTCTTCTCAGATTCAGACTTCGGTAAAACCTCTCTCTCGCCGTTCTCTGAACTTCGCGCTTCGGTCTCCGCCGCCGGTCGACTCTTAGCATTCACAGATTTACTGTCGGTGTTGGACAACGCGACTTCATCCGCGTTGACCATCACGGTAACGACATTCGTGGCATTTCGATCTGTAACACTGCCGCTCTTCGTGACAGGCAATGCACTTCCACCGGAAATATTGTTCGATCGCATTGTCATGGAATTTATAAAAACGCTGCTAACAGGCTCCGATGCGTACTTTTTATGCGTGTGTGATGTCGAAGAACATATGCCTTCATTTCCGAGCTCCTCAGGTGGTAGAACAGGAACGTTCAAATTCACTCGTGTAAAGAAAGCCATCTTTTCTCTGAAAAAAAGATAATGTTAATTTATCAAGTGATCTTTACGTAAAAGATGATTTTTTCCTATTAACCCTTATATGATCTTCAAAATTGTCAGGAAGTTATACAGATTTTCATTGCGATCTAATTTATTTGAAGACATGACTTTTGATTAACACTTCACTTGGATTAATTATTTCAGTGTCTTAAATATTATTATAAAATATTATAAATATTGGAATCCAGATCACAAAAAAACTGAAATAAAAGATAAGGAAAATAATTTTGTAACAAAGGGAAACTTACTTGAAAGAAATCATGTCGGGTTTTCCCTTCCCAGCCTTCGTTTTCCTCAACTTGTAAATCTCTTTCGAAGTTTTCTTTAACATCTTCTCTACTTTCTTATCCTCAAGGCTCTTGCCGTTCCTGCCACTTTCGGCTTGTGCTATGAGATTTTGAAACTTCTGGTCTTCTAGCAGCCATGTCGCTAGGTCGGTATCGCCTCTTTCACGCGCTTGTTCTAGCCGTTGCTTCAATTCTCGTAACCTACTAAGCTCATCTTGGAGATTATTTAGTTTAGCATGCTGCGCCTGGAGATCTAATTCGAGATCCAAAGACGTTCTGGCTGTCGACGGCAAATAAGACGACTTTTTCGTGGTTTTGTAACTGAGAGCGGAGGACGGTCGACGCCATCGCAGGGAACGTCTTTCTACCGAATTCCGTTGGAAAGGTCCGCCTCTGCGATAAAGCGGCATACTGCTATCGCTATCGCTGCGATTAAGCTGTATAAAACGAGATAAAAAAAATTAAATGCAAATGAGTGCCAAAATTCTCGTCTAAAGGTATGATACTTTGCAACCTTTTTTTATTGTGTACAGAATTTTATAAGAACAAAAAACAAATCTATTAAATATGTAATAGTAAAAAAATTTAATTAAAACTTACTCGACAGATGTAATGATTTCTACTGACGGCCGCGCTTGGTGAGAATGTTTGACTTCTTTTGATCACAATAGAGTTTTTGTCGTCATGAACAGCGCTGGGTGCAACGCCAGCCGCGGAAAGTTTTCTTTGCTTGCCCTGTTCCGGAATAAACACACACTCAGTGTTTGTTTCCTTGTCCTGTGTTTGCCTCGTTTCCTCGTTCAATTCTTCATCCTCCTGTTACGTTATAAATTTAGAATTCATTTTTCATTAATAAAAAATTCCTACAGTTTTAAAAATAAATTTAAGATTCAGCGCAAGTTTAATTCTCATCAAAAAATAACACTAATCGAGACAGTGGTAGAAAAATGTTAAATCCTGTTAAAACAATGGTTACACTTTTGATTGTTTTAATGACATTTGATAGTAAAGTCAAATTAATCGAAGCGGTAAATAAATATCGTTTATATAACAATGTCGTTTACCTCGTGCTCCAAAACATCTTCTAGAATATTATCCTCCACTGTAAACTCCACGATGATACCTTCTTCGTCGCTGTCCTCGCTCCCACTTTCACTACCATCATCCTCATCCTTTTCTTCCGGACTACGTAGACAATTCAGTTCTTCCAACCTCAACGTTACAGCTGTTTGCAGCTCATCGCAGCCTTGATTCCTCGTCAAGGTGGATGTTTGAGAACTGATTATCGTACTTTCGTCACTACTCTCTTCTTTCGTATTCTGTACGTTCCTATATACCGAAATATCCGATTCCTGCTTGTCGTGTTTCGTCAATCTGACATTTACAGAGGCACCATTGATACCGGGACTGTCAGATGGATGCATGAAGCGGAAGGAGAGTATGTTGTACCATTTTACGCTAGGAGATTCTGGACTAAAGTCTGCCAGCGAGACTTGTGCAGAACCCTGCAATTAAATCAGAAGAAACCATTTAACATGACTAATAATACTATGTTTTCAAATTAGCAACAATTAACAACTGTTTGTTCGTCCGAAAGAATTTGAAATTTTCATTATTTTCGTCAATTGTGTGTGTGTGAATATTGATTCTCTAATAAGTGTGTCTCAAATTTTCGATCATAACATTAAGTGGATCTGAGATTACTTTAAGTAAAGTGAGAATTTGTCATATATAAATAAAATAAATTTGAAAATAAAAATATACATACCAGACATTTCTCGGCCTCCGTGCACCAAAGTGTCACTTGCAATGTTTTTGTGTACAATTTGTTAAGCGGCACGGCGATTGGGAACGTTTCGCCGAAAGTCGGTTTTCGCAAGTCGATGACCGATTTCGTGCAACATGTATGATTGATAGGTAGTTGCATCGGCAACAATGCAGCTTTGATGTACCTGAAATGCGAAATAAAAACGTTATTTTTACAGACAAAAATTGCAGTGCGTAGTTGCACTTTTAAGTCGTGGACTCGCTTACAAGCTATCAATTATTCTCTAAAAGAATATTCAGACGAAAACAAATATAGAATTCGAGAGAAGGCTCGGTCTCCCTCTCTCCCTCCCCCCCTCTCTCTCTGTTTATCTCCTTCCTTCTTTTTTTCATTCATCAACGGAATTGGAAAACGTGAATTCATCGCGTGAAAGATGGATCATTAATCAAATGCTCTTGTGTAACTATATACATTAATCTATCTCTCTTCCTCGACCGTCGAAGCGTCATACTGTTTTGTGAATTTATGACCGGTGGCCGAACACAATGGCCGCAAGAATACATTCCTGAGTGGTTGTAAAGCTAATTGTGAGACACGGTATTGCTGATAATAGCCGACTCTTACATAACGAAGGTGAGCGCGACACGCAGCTGGTCAATGATCCAAACACGAGTGCGCGACAAGGATTCCATAATTACATTCCAATTTCACGAAGACGTCGGTAGAGACCCGAATGATCGATCGACCGGCCAACTCAGGTCATTAAGATCACCGATTGCAAACGGGGAATAGATAAAAGTCGAGTGTATTTGCGTAACTCGTCAGCAGGTTGATCTAACATTGCGCAACGAAGTTATTTAATCGGTGAAGTTATTTTAAAAAAGGAGATTCCTTTTTAAGTAGATAGTCTAAAATATGTAGTTATATCACGATATTAATATAGAACATAAATATTTATCTTATATTTTCTAAAGAATGAATAAAATTGACGTGTAAATGACACAATCGTAGAAGTACTGAGACGTAGTAAATATTGCTTGGAATATATCGTTTAAAAGTAATTAGAAAAAAAATCATCATGTGGATACTCACACTTGCGCATTGTCGGGTATGAAAAGTGCAGCCAAATTTCTGGCTCGTTCAATGCCAACATGAAGTAACCCATCACTCACTGAATACCTGATAAATGTTATAGATTTCAATTCAGTTGTTCGTTTCAAGATCCAAATCATCACAAGAATGCAATCAAATTTCCGCAAAAATAAAAGAAAATAAACTTATATTATAATAATTTATCGTAAATAAATAGATAGAATATATAAATAAATAAATAGAAGGAAGTTTACACGTTATTTAAAAAATTATAATTTTACATTATTATAAAAAATAATACATGGTTGATTATATAATAATCTTTGTGCATCACAATGTTTCCACATTATTTTTTATAAAATTTTCACATAATTGCTTTGTATATATAATCCGATAATATAATACATTTTAAATGAGTATACATTTTTAATAAGAAAAATACTGTCTGCAAAAAATATACTTCTATAATATTGTGATACTTTTATGCACATTTTAATTTTTTTTGTTCAATATTGTTATAATGTATAGTCCATAAATAAAACATACCTCAGTTTAATCTGCACTTGTGCCGTTTCTAGACTCATTTCGCCAGAAGCTAATGAATCTACATCGGAGATAGGCCCGGATAATCTTTTTCGATTGCACGCCTCAAAAACACCCGAGTCACCTGCGACGCTCTCATCAGAAACGGCGGCGGAGACGGATCTAGTGTTGGTGCCGGAACTGCTGGCTCTCGATCTGATCCCAGTAGGTGGTGGCGTTTCGCTGATCGGCGACAAGGGGAGTGGCTCCTGCGGTAGGGATAATGACGGTACCTGTTGCAGTTGCAACTGCGTGCCACTCGCGCCAGGCCTGCCCAAGCCGCTGCCTTGGGACATGTTACTCGATTGCAACTCGACAGGCGGATGGGGACCAACCACAAGTTTCAAACGATCCTGTGTATTGACGGAACACGGCTGTTCTTGCTGCGATGCTACTCCTTGTTGCTGACTAAATCTGAACTCTGACAAACGATCCTCTAATTGATTCCCGTCCAGGTGAGACGTAGCAGTACCGCTAATTGCTGCCATTGTTGTTGTCGTTGCTGTCGCAGCAGGCACCACTCTTTGATATTGCTTCCTCTGCTGTTCTACCTGCTCATAAGCAGGCGGTGGACCCATCGGCGCGTTTTCATACAACGGCGATACTGGTGGGCTTACACTAGACAAGCTCGATCTGGGAGAGAGACTTGGCTGAGATCTGCCGGGTGAGGATGTACCGACGAGATTGCTCTGTTCGGAACCGCGCAACAGTCTTTCAACACGTCTGTGGAGGTCAACCATATCGACTGGTCGCTCTTGCTGTAAACTGGTCGATCCCAGACACTGCGGGCCACCGTAAATATCCGTGAAGCTAAGTCCTGAACTGAGAGAACCTTTGCTACTCGTCGTGCTGAGACTACCGAGACTGGAACTACTGCTCACCGACAACGTGCTAGCGCTCAAAGTTTTCAACTGACTCTCTAACATTGCCATTGAGCGCAGAGCGTTTCTAAGTTGCTGCAGCAACAGTTGCTTCTCTTCGTGGAGCCGTACGCGATCGGTGATGGTTTTATTTGAAAGCTCGAACGCAGTATTAAGGTCTTGCTCAAGTCTGCGAATCTCCAACTGGATTTTCTTCATGTCCTGTTGCGTTCTCGTACGTGGCGTGATGCTACGTAATTCCCTCAATAACTGCTCCTTTTCTTGGAACAGTAACAGCTTATCCTTATCGCTCTCAGTTTGCCCCGGCGTCACTTTTTCTTCGAGATCCGCCAACTGTTGCTGTATATGTTGAATCTGTTTTCTCGCCTCATCATATTGCAACCTCATACGTGCCATCTCGGCCAGTCGAGTACCAATCGGTACCAACTCACCCGAGAGATCAGTCTGGGAGGCTGTGCTGAGTTTTTCCTGCGGTAAGCTCAGCGTGCTAGCTTCCGGACTGCCCTCGCATAGTTGCAACCTAGTCAGTTCATCCTTCAATTGTGCCAATGATTGCATCAGTTCAGCCTTCTCCTTCTCGCCTGAGCTTAAGGACTTTTGGATGTTGCGAAGTTCTGTCATAATCGCTTGCGCTTCCATGATATTGTAGCATCCACCATGGTGGGTGCTCAATTTTTGTTCCACACTATAGAAAGGAATAGATTGTAAAAGTTAGAATTATTCTTAAATATGGAAAAAAAATAATTCTATGATATACATATATATATATATATATCTGTAAAGTTTTGATTTGTTAAATAAAAATTATTATTAGAATAAGTATTATTAAAATAAATGTAAAAGAGAGGTAAAGTTTTGCGCATAAAAATCTTGGTAAAATGTATAAAAATAATTTTCATTACAGACTGAGATTAAATTACTTAAACAAGTTTAATACAAAAATGAGTCAATGTTTTAATGTTCGCCTATGTAATACCTGGCGAGAGTATCTACTCCTCGCTGCGTGCAATTCATCTCCGCTCGAATTTGCTCGAGTTCTCGTTTTAGTCGAGAAACACGACTCCTTGCAAGTGCCACGTCTGATTTAAGCAGGTCAGGGTCATATTTGGTACTCAAGGAACTCGAGCTGGAACACACTACAAACCACAAATGCCCGTCAACATTTTCCGGCGATGAGAACTTTCTTTACCTACTCACGTTGAAATCAATTAAAAAGCGGATGTTTGATCATAATGTAAAATCCAAAATACGAAAACCTTCAATCATGACAAATTTCCTAATTCGCAGCAATATTCTGTACAATCTCATTTTAACAACACAACACTTTTCAAGTGACAGAATTGACGAAGCATTTATAAATAGCTGCATATAACGCGCACAGTATATAACCAAATTACTAATTAATTCAAGAATCGATTAAAATCCTCTGTATGTTAAATTACACTCACAGCTTGTACGCGATGCGCCAAGGGTAGTCAAGGCATTATTAAGGTGATTGTATTCATCCTGAGCCAGGCAGAGTCTTTGATGTTTTACGTCATAGATCTCCTTCTTCGCCTATAACACAAGAATTTGAATCTTTGTACAATAACTGTTATCAACTGATTTTCATATATCTATATATCAATATCATGTAACACATTTTCATATGTATCATCACTGTAACAGATCGGCAATATCTTTTTTCATAACATACGAGACATGTTAATTAAATGTGTTAAGAAAACGATAAAGAATGAAGAAATAATTTGTCGTAGTTATGTAATTTTTAAACGGTAGTTATTTGAGTTCGAAGCATTTAGGTGATATTGTGCTTCCATACATAGCAACATCGCCGGGCTGCATAGTTTGTAATTATTTATTTAGCGATTACGTGCAAATTGCGCGCGCTAGAATGTCAGATATGTATGTTTACTTATGTATATACGTAAAGGAAAATGATATGTAAAGAAATATAAATATGTGGAAGAATAAAACTTTCCAAGAGAAAAAAAATCTAAAAACTTCAAAATATCTTTCTTTAATATAAAAAGGACTCTATCCAGTGCTCTTTTAATCAATCATTTAATAATCATTGAAGAAGGAATTATAACATTTTCGCAAATTAATTAATCAGAATAAATAAGATTTATCTTAAATCATGTGAGTATAATCCTTCGTGTCATGTGCTTTGCTCAATATGTTTCACATAGAAAATACAATTAAATATTCCTATCATGTAGTTTCACGATTATCTCATATATGTGATGACACTGCATTCCCAATATTCGGAAGAACTACACGGAGTTTCTTGTGCAAAGAATACATCACGATACGTCAATCTCACTGAAAAAGATCTCTCGACCGCTCACATTCGCACACAATCACGTCTCATCGTTAAGAGAACATTTACAATTTTAACGCTTCGATGATAAAATTTTTCGAAGCACCTTTCTAAAAGACGAAATCGAAGAGGGGGCACTGAAAGCACACAATTTCCGCGTTCTCAGAAAAGAAGAAGCGACCACGGGATTATCGATTGGCGAAATCGACGAGTATTCTCAAGATATTTCTTACGAGTAAAATCCTGCGCAAAGTGTAAAATCCTTACGTATTCGCAGTAATAATACGCCGTAGTGTCGGTAACGTTGCGTTTGTAACACTGCTCCCAGTAGAACCTCTGTATCTGCTCGTCGTTTTCGTAATCATTATGATAGCACATTTTCATACGATACTGAGACACCACGTTCTCGTAGATTTGTTCTTGTTGCTGCTGCTGCTGCTGCTGCGGCTGCTGAATTAAGCGCTGTTGTTGTTGATACTGAAGATACGATGGAGGCTGCGAACTTCTGTGTTGCTGCTCCTGCGCTAGCTGCTGCTGCTGCTGATGATGATGATAATTATTCACGTAGTTACGGTACTGATGTGCCGGTACGAGTACGCAGAGGGTGTACTGACGGTCCATGCCGAGTACACGGTGAACTGTGCGCACTCTCTGTGGCTACGCGATACCTTTCTTCCTCCTGTTTCTCCTCCTCCACCTCCGCTTTTTCTTCTTCTTCCTCTCTTCTTTCTATTTCTCTTCCACCCTCTCTCTCTCTCTCTCCTCTCTCTCTCTCTCTCTCTCTCTCTCTCTCTCTCTCTCTCTCTCTCATTTCCACTTCTTCACTTCCTCCTCTCAATCCCGTCCCGTGCTCTCCTGCGCTCTCATGTACTCTCTTCTATCTCCTCTTTTCTCCTTGCCTCATCTTCGCGAAGGCCTCCTCGAGACTGGCCGGTTTACGGGGCCCGAAATTCCGATCCCCACCTCCGTGGGTCTCAATTTTTAAGGGATCCCACCTTTTTTCCTCTTTTTACCTCCTCTTCCTTCGCTTCTTGCTTCGTCCAGCCAGTCCTACCTGCCCCTCTTCGGTATCTGTCCTATCCCTCCTCCGATACCCCTTTTTACCCCTACCACGGCAACCTCGCGCACACAGATTCTTTTCTCTCCAACGGAATAGAGTACAAACTGGCTCCACGTACTCCCTCTTCATCCTCTTCCTTCTTCTCGTCTTCTGCTGCTGCTGCTGCTGCTGCTTCTTCTTCTTCTTCTTCTTCTTCTTCTCCTTTTCGTCATTCTCTCTCATTCCATGCGCTTCCTCCATCGTATATTTTTCATATCATCTCTCTCTCCCCCCCCCCCTCTCTCTCTCTTTCACACACACACATAATTCTCGATGGCCTTAAGCGCCTCTTTCTTACCCGACGTAAAAAGGCGGGCCTCGGCAGCCCCAACAAGATTGTCGCAACCAGGACCTCGGTTCAAACTCTAAGTTCTGGTTTAAAAGGGATGAGTTTAAAATTTAAATAGCGCAGTGTAATGTGTGTCTAGCTTTCACGTTGAAAATAAATTACTTAATCCATTCTACAATTGGGTTCTAGATCTAAGACTATCAAATATCCCTTATCCTTAATATTAAATTGTTTATACGTGTGAAACTCCTTTCTCTCCAATGGAAAAGAATTTTACTTCAAAAAATTTAAACATGGTTATCAAAGATTTTCAATTGATAAGTTGTAAAATTTTGTTAAACTACTACTAAAATACATGTAGTCACTAATATATATTGTGTCGCAATGCATATAAAATTGTATGTAAAGATAGTAAAAAGAAACTATTACATAGTTGATAATAATAAAAACTTTTATACAAATATTTATTCAGCTTTTATGTCACAGCAAGATACAAATTTTTATTAAAGTAAATTTTTGTTAGAGGAAATTGCCTTTCCATTATGTGAAGTGTCAAAATCTATGTTTATCACCGTTACATTTTGGCCCTCGAGGGTGTCTATTTTTTTTCAGACTCGCGGAATGTCGTCGCATGCAGCGCAATCCAGAAGCGCAGGGCGCCCGAGGGCCAATGCACGATTCTGTCATTGGTGGGGACAACGTGTGCGCTAGTTATGAACATAGGAGCCAGTAGAGAGAAAGGTAGACGAGAGGGTAGTTAGGATTGCTGAGGAATCAGCAGACGACGAGAACGAATGAACGAGGGAGAAGTAGAATGGAGGCATAAAGAAGGGACGTGATAGAGAAGGGCGAGAAAAGAGAAGGGATAAGGGAAGGAAGACCGAAGGAGAGGGGGGGGGGGAGATACGGCGAGGTCACGGTACGACCCTGCTTTGAAACGTGGTTGCATTCGTCCGGGGCCTTGCCGTCGTCGGTAGTAGAACCGACCTTGAATCGCGCATTATGCCCCGTCCTTGTTGGAATTTCTGGGGCCCCTACTAGCCCCCATCAGCAGTGTCTCCGAATGATCATCTAAGAGCGGGCCCAGCCGGCAGGGCAGCCGGGGCCTCGCTCGTTGCCGTCCCCACTACTCTCCGCCAATCGTGGGGACTCGCCTCATCCGTGAGGCTCCAGTATGTGCACCGGAGGAGAGCACACGGATTCTTTCCGTTCTCGCCCTCTCTTCTTCCCCGCCGCGCCTTCCCGCATCTTCTCTCCGCAAAGCCATCACGATCTCTCTCTCTCTCTCTCCCCCCCCTCCCCTCATCGCCATGCTTCCTCTTCGCCCTCGAAACATCGGGAGAGAGAATCCACGGCGCCTCACGCGCACATTTCTCAGTCCATACTATTATTATTGAGAGAGCATACAGATGGTATCAAGTACGGGCCTGTTTTGTCCGTCCCCCGAGAAGGGGCCTTACTTTTTCACCCGTCTATCTTCTCCATTCTCGTCCTTGTTCTCTTTTTTTTTTTTTTTTTTCCCCTCTATCTCTTCCTACTCTTCCATCGTCATCAGCCGGGACCGGCTTCTTCGCGACCTCCGACTAAACGCATTCTTTTTTCGTTCGATAGACTTTCTTCTTCTCTTTCTTGGAACGGCGAAATGACTTCGATTTCCGATAGGAAATCTCCGGCCCACTCTTGGATCGCGGTCGACATTCTCCGATTTCGATCTCTTCATCGAATATATATTTGTGATATTGCTTTAGATCAATACTCTTTTTTTTTTTTTTTTTTTAGCTTTTGAAAACTTCATAATAAGAGAATGTAGATGCGCATTGTACAAGTTGATAAAAAAAGATAAGTTTTTTTTTTTCACTATTTTATACATTTAATTAGCAAATTTTCGAGCTGGTGTGTGCGAAGCAAAAAGGAATGTTGATAAGGCCAAGAAACAAGCATAATCTAAAATATTATATGTATATATTTTTTTTTATTTCATTATTTCATATAATTCTAAAGTTTATTTAGATTATATTTAATTAAAATAATGCTGTTGACATAACATCATTTATTTCAGTGTATATATACTCTGTATAAATACAATTTGTTTTCAAAATATTTTCTTGCAAAACATCTCTGAATATTAACATATTTAGAATTAAACACATTCAGAATTAATGTTAAAGATTTTACGTTTGACGATTGTTTTGTTTGCAATCTCTAGCTACAAAATGCTAGAGATTGCATGCCTGTTTCTCCGTATCATTTGGTGTCTAGGACGCATCTCCCGTCTGAAAGGAGTCGAAGGAACGAGGGCTCTTCAGCGACAGCCGCATTCCAAGCAAGACGCCTAATACCGTTCCTAGCACGGCAAAAAACAAAAGGTCATCACGAAGGATACGAGGGAAAGAAGATACGACAGGATCATACGAGAAGGAAGACGATCCGCGGCATTGTTGGGGCCCGTAGAGGAGAAGGAACGCGGCGCAGGACGAAGAGGAGGCGCGGAAGGCGTCTCTCGGATATATTCCTGCGCAAACGGCCGCGATTTATACCGCCTGAAGCTCGCTATCCTAGAAGCCGAATGCCTAACTGATTGCTGAATTCCATTCCATCGGCCTTTCCTCCCTACTCTCTCATTCTCTCTCGCTCTTTCTTTTTCTCTTCCTGCTCTTCGCTCTCGCGAGCGACTCGCGTCCTCCGTCTTGGGAATGCTACGAGAAACCACGAACGTCGTCGTTTGCTCTCGTTTAAAATTCCAGCTGCCTCGATAGAACCATCTGAGGAGGAATATCATAAATTTCGGATAATTCTGACAACATTTTTCAATTCTAAAATTTCACAACTTTCTGATGAGGATTTTCGGTACAAACTAATTGTCAAGTACTTACAGATATGTATTCTTCCGTAGCATACCTTTCTCTTCGAGAAATGGTAATTTGAATCAAAAATATTATTAAAAAAATTTTCATCTAAAATCGTCATTCCCAATCACCTTTTTTTTAAACGAATCTGTTAAGAAAAATGCGCATTGTTTGTGTTCAACAGATACAACAGCTTTGCTGCAGCTATTGTAAAATTCCTTAATATGACTGCTCTTATATAATCTTAATTCCTCATTAGATGTAAATGAACCAATCATATTAAAGAATTTTACAACAATTGTAAACTATTCCTATGTCTGTTCTTCTTTCTTTTATTTTACGTTTATGCGACTTGCCTAACAGCTCGAAATAACTCTTACCTTATATAATAACATGAGAAGGATAATTAGAAGAGTCAAAGGATTACAAAGAGGAACAAATTGCCGGATCCGAATATCAATTAATCGGTCATCTTCTAGTTGTATTCTACTCCGTATTGCAAAATCGTGCTCGCGTGTCGATCATATCGCTCTCGTTTGTCATCGGAGAAATTTTTCTCATTGGTCGCGTTCAGCAGACTCAACTGTTGCGGAGCGGATCCATGAGCGCTCACTGCCATTGGTCGATCTAAAAGAATATATACCAATAGCAGTGAGCGCTCACGGATCCGCTCCGCTAAAGCCAATAGATTTATAGAGTACCGCGAACTCGCGTCCATTTTGTCGCAAAACGCTGCCATTTCTTAGAATAAGTTAAAGAATTTAACGAATTTATTGGCTCATTGCCCTTATTTTTCGAAAACTCAAAATTTTGAATGAATATATGATTACATTTTCTTTTACGTGAAAAATATGAATAAACGCAATTTGGAGCTTAATTATAAATTTTTGTATTCATCGGGCACACTATACACAATAAATGATCTTAATTTGACACTTCTTCTTTTTTAGGCCCTAAGAACTCAGGTTTCAACAACGAAACCCATTAACCTTGCAGACAGTGGCCTTCAAGGAGAGATTCTATTTGAGCAGTAGAATCTCTCTCGACCTGCAGAGTATTTTCCAGTATTAGTCCAAAAAAATTCAACGCTTACTGACACGAATTGCGCATTACGGATCGTGAAAACAGAGTCTTGCCTATTTCGCGATTTGCAATCCGGATCTTTGGCCACTTCCATGTGATTGGCTGATTAACAATCCGCAGCTCGCAATCCGAATCCGATCCGCGTTCACAATCCGTAGAGTGACACGGGCTTAGTGCAGGTGCAATTTATATATACGACTTTTGCGAGGATCAAAATGTTAAGGTATTCTGGCGCGATTGGCCCTTTGAGTGACGGAATCAAAAGCGGTGTATCAGGATCACGTATATCTACATTTCGAAGGTGGATTTGCCACCTACAATAATAATTCTCGCGGTCGCTGTGGCGTAGCGTGTAACGTAATGCGTGCACGCACGTGAGCTATCTCGGTGGCTTCATCTCGGCACTTGGCGTGCG